TGTGCAATACAAGGCCATTGCCATTAACAGTATGGATCTAAGATGGTAGTCTTAGGTTAAATTAGACTTCTTTACATAGATCAGAGTTGTCAGACCAAAAACATAGAGAACAAAAACAAATGATCAATGTCAATATGACCAATGTAGGTTCCTACTCTGTCGTTACTTTATATGAGACAGCGCTTCTGTCTTATTGCTGTAAAGGCTGATGGCTCTTTAAAAAGCATATGTCTAATTTATCAGGCAATAGACCAATTAAAACTGACTCAATGAGTTACACTGGTTCCTCAGGTGGCTGGAAGGCTATAGCCAGCTCTCCACTTGTGCCTGGTCTTTGATGAGGTCTGTGGAACCATACAGGATTTTTATTGCCCCATAAAAAATGTCCATTGTAGTTCATGTAGTTCTTTACTATTCTATGCATCCTGCATTCTGCAGTTTTCTAACAACAGTGTGATTTTAGCATAGTTCTCCACAACACAATCTCCAAGCACACCATCAAAGAGATATCGGTTCCTTGGGGAAAGTGCCTGTTATAGTGCCTTTTAGAAGTGTTTCTTTCCATTCCTGTCTGATGGCACAGTCACTGCTTATCAAAGTAGCACCAAAGTGGTGGTGAGGGGAAAATATCCACATAACGAAGGCTTTTAGAGCGCCACTGGGAATAGATCTGTGCCAGCACAATTTTCTTGACTGTGGAAAAGATGGTTCTGATTGCAAAGATGGTCCCAGCTATTTGATTCTAGCCTGCAGAGTATAACTACACTAAAACTGTAACTATATTCTATATATAACTACATTCTGTAAAACCTTCCAGTAGGATACTGTTCATAAGGCTACATGACACCTACAGAACCTTGTCATGACAGCTGACATAACTCTACATTCTATGTTCACTAGAAAGGTTACATTGGCCAATTTTGATTAAAGTTAGCTAAAGTTGCCTTTATGACAGATGACCCTCAAATGAAGTGTTAGAACTCTCTTCCAGTCCACAGAGCTATACAGAGATGTGACATATGACTGATGTGTGACTTACATTTCTACACCATATTATAATTGTACATATGCTAGTTTAGAAAAGCAGTTTGTGACAAACTAAATGAAAACCGATTCATTTTTGGCTTTGCTCGATTGTGTTCTTTACATAAATAAATGCAATAACAGCATTAAAAAAATGTTGTGATTAATGGACAACAGCAGATTACACAACAAAAATAGCCACGTTTTTATGTCGGGCTCAAAGGTTAAAGTTTAAAGAACCTCCAAATAATGTAAATAACAACATAATGGTTCAGTACCAATTAAAGATCTTTCCTAGAACTGCATGACCATTTTTTATCATGGACTTTTCTTTTTAAGAGTGTGCTAGCCATCAGCCTTCCAGTCTGATAGCCTATCAGTCCTATCATCTAATAGGAGACATCAGGAGCAAATGAGGACTCGGCTACAACTAACACTGCCTTTTCTCTTTTGTCTTCCAGGATGACCCACAAAGCTTCAGGGCAATGGTTGATATGTGCTGAAGCATGTCCACTTAGAATAGTCCTAAACTCACTGTTTCCACAAGGAGGCCCAACAATTTTGGGAATGGAGTCACTACGAGCAGGGCAAACTTATGCAAAACAATGTTTTCTGAGTTCAACATAAGGGCTCGCCAGTAATAGCAGCAAAGCTCTAAGCAAGAGGTTAAAGCACTTTCATAACTCTAAAGTACAGCACGGGTATATCGCATGCATGCTTTAAGCACAATCAGCACATATACAGCACTCTGGCTCATACATATACATTCATATGTTAATTCAGTATGAGAGAAACTGCCTTGCTCTCAATTACTTCAACTTCATTTCAACTCAATTACTTCAGTCAATTCCAGTGTGTCTTTATGGACCATGCATGTCTTTATGGACTAATGAAGGCAAAATGTAAACAAGACCCTCCATAAATCTTTACAGCTTTCGTAGTGAAATAACCTGAGCACTGCTCCACAAAGTGTGTGTAAAATAATATAAGCAGCACAGGATTCCAAACCACTTCTTCTCTCAAAGTACAGCATTTTAATACTGTAGCTGATATCTGGTACTACAGAGCATAGTCTAAAGATTTAAATTCATAATAAGCATATTTACATTACTGTGCTTTGATATAAAAAAAGACTAGGCATTAAAATGAAGGCAGGACACATTCTCAGAGTGCCACAGTAAATATTAATATATGACTGGCATGACGTGCCACTGAGTTGTGGATCTGTGGGGCTCAGAGGCTCAGTGTGGGTTTTATCTCTTATCCAAACTCTTCAGAAAGAACCATAAAGAGCATAGTCTAATACATTACTGTAGAAATAACAGACCACATACATACCAAACAGCTAGTGGAATGGCCAGCATAACTAATGTTACATCACACTAGGCTGGCCTACAGAACAGGCCAGAAATGAGGTAAAACGCTTGTGCAATCAGCTTTGGAGGACCTTTTTGGTAAAACTACCCTCTATTAAAACAAAGTTTTCCTCTCTTTTCTAGTTCTTTTGTTCTTCAATTAAAATGTAACAGATAAAGCTACATTAACCTTGGAACCTTATACTTCAAAGCCAGTTAAAGCCCAGCAACACAATTCCTTAAAAAGGAGAAGTTTGCTTTGTGCATTCCAGGAGACATTAAAAAGTTCTCTCTCTTCCCCATTACCCGTTCAGCCTTCCACACCACAGACCTGTGCAGTATGAAGCCCTGCATTTCTGAAGCACTGCACTCTTAGCAAAGATTTATGCTTTTGTTTAAAGGTATTCTCAAATATAAATAGGAGGTAAAAATAGAAAATAAGCGCAGTGGGTTTTCATTCTCTTGAATGAAGCACAGAGAGGAAAATTGGCACTGGGATGATATCAACTGTGTCTTAGAGGGAACTGAACTCATTTTTCTACAACTCCATTTCCAAAAAAGTTGGGACGCCGTGCAAAATGTAAATAAAAACAAAATGCAACGATGCGCAAATCATATGTACCCTATATTTAATTGAAAATAGTACAAAGATGACAAATCAAATGGTGAAACTGAAATATTTTATTGTTTTTTGAAAAATATATGCCCATTTGGGCAAAAATATATGCCCATTTGGGCAAAAGTTTGGACGGGGGCAACAAAAGGCTGGTAAAGTTGTGTAACGCTAAAAAAAACACCTGGTGGTTAACTGGCAACAGGTCAGTAACATGATTGAGTATCAAAAGAGCATCGCAGAGAGGCTGAGCCTTTCAGAAGTAAAGATTGTGAGGGGTTCACCACTGTGAAAGACTGCACGAGCGAATAGTGCAACAATTTCAATGTAAAATAGCAAAGAACTTTTGCTTTTCATCATCTACGGTACATAATAACATTAAAAGATTCAGAATCTGGAGAAATATCTATACGCAAGGGACAAGGCCAAAAACCAGTATTCGTTCTTTGGGCCCTCAATCAGCACTGCATTAAAAACAGACATGATTCTGTGGTGGAAATCGCTGCATGGGCTCAGACACACTTCTGAATACCACTGTCTGTGAAAACAGTTTGTCGTTGCATCCACAAGTGCAAGTTAAAACGCTAAAAAGCAAAGATGAAACCACATATAAACAAGATCCAGAAATGCTGCCACCTTCTCTGGGCCTGAGCTCACTTAAAATGGACTAAGGGGAAGTGGAAAAGTGTCCTGTGGTCTGATGAATCAACATTTGAAATTCTTTTTGGAAATCATGGACGCTGTGTCCTCTGGGATAAAGACCACTCAGCCTGTTATCAGTGCACAGTTCAAAAGCCAGTATTCATGATGGTTCAGGGGTGCATTAGTGCACATGGCATGGGTGACGTGCACATCTGTGAAGGCACCATTAATGATGAATGATATATACATGTTTTGGCAACATATGCTGCCATCCAGACACCGTCTTTTTTATTTCAGCAAGACAATGTCAAGCCACATTCTGCATGTATTACCGCAGCAATGCATTGTATTAAAAAAGGTCCGGGTGCTAAACTTGCCTGCCTGCAGTCAAGACCTGTCACCACTGATAACATTTGCCGCATTATGAAATGAAAAATACAACAAAGGAGACCCCAAACTGTTGAGCAGCTGAAATCCTGTATCAAACAAGAAAGCATTTCACTTTCAAAACTACAGCAATTGGTCTCCTCAGTTCCCAAACGCTTACAGAGTGTTGTTAAAAGAAGAGGTGATGAAACACAGTGGTAAACACTGTGTCCACAACTCAAACACAGCCATTTTATTTACTATCCAAAGCCACCAGTGAACCTATGTGTCTTTAATGCTGATGATGGTAATATAGTAGTTAATCTGAAAAATCTTTGGGTATCATTTTACATCATATTTATTAATATGTTTTGAAAATATGCTTTAGGACAAAACGTGTACAAAAATCATACAGAAATTAAAAAAAAAAAACTGGAATTCCCCTTTAAGCCTGATGCTCATTAGGGGATGGAGTCTGTGTTAAAGAAGCCAGTTAACACTAACTTTAACACTACACAATAAATTGTACATCATCTGAATTCACAATTAGTTAAGGCCAGAAGAAACCAATATCTGAATTTCTCAACAACCTGCACAATGTCACCAGCTTTGACACAGTGAGTTTTACTCATCATGAGCTTGCTATGTTTATGAATTAATCATAGGTCGTATCATAAAAAAGACAGATTCAGACCAATGCTAGAAACTATGGATACCACAACAACAACCAGCATATAGTAACTGCATAAGCTGCATGATAGAGAGCTGATTTGATGTCAGGTAACTATGCTATTATCATATTTCATTTGAATTGTTTTGCTGTAAAATCACACTCATTGCCTTCTGAAAATGTGTTCTGTTCTGCTAACATATTTTGTCAGCTCCATCTTGACTGCAAACCTGTGAAAATCCATTTAATTGCCGTGATGTTATGTTTTTGCAGTATCACCCACCCTTAGCAGAGACATGCACATTATAGTATGCAGTTACACATCTCTTACCAGACAATCCGTTGGATGACTGTAGGTGGTCTGTAAATCTTGGCTGGTCTGCTGCGCTTCTCCTCAAGAGACAAAGGCATGCGATGTACAGACAGGCAAGACTTACCGAATCCATGCTGACCTTCAGACAGAAAAAGAAAGAAAATTTAAAGGTCTCTGTCCTCTTTATCCTGGCAAGTTAAGACAACCATGTAGCACTAGTAGCTACATGAGGGAACTGGAAACAGGATGTTTTCACTAACATCTCAACTCTATACATATAAAACACTGAAGTAAACGGTGTAAGAGTTATTTTCTACTGATGCCTAAATTCTTCCCAAGTGGAAAATCAGCATATAACAGGGAGGACTCAGTAGCTTCCAGCTATGAAGTGCATGCTTCATTAAACATTATCAAAAAGCTAAGCTGAATAATCTTTGTCCATAAAAACCTCGTATTACCTGTAAGAACTTAAACATCGCAGACTTTCTGGTCACTGTCAGAGAAGAAGTCAGGGTTATTTGCAGTGTCTCTTCAGGTCACTTTGACGGAGCTCCATCGAGGACCAAATTTAGTCGAGGATGCGGTTGACTTGGTGGTAAACTTTAAACCCGGATGCGCTGATGCTGTGTCATACAGCTAAGCTGCCTGCAATGTACAGCCGAAAGTTTTCAACAGCGGCGCATTAAGCTGTGTAGAGAAGATTTTTTTTCCTATCACCTCCTCACAGTTTCTAGAATAACCCACCGATATTTGAATAGGCGAGTTCAGTAAAGCACGTCCATCACCTCCGCCCTCAGTCAACACCGAACACAGCACACAACGGTCTTCCGGATTTTTGGTGAAGAAAATCGTGGTCCGGCTGTCCAAAGTGCACCAAACTTCGTCACCAAGCTTTAAAACTCCGAATAAAACATGAAACACATGGCTGGATGTCCCTCTATGAGCGCTGCTCGCCTCTGTCGAAAGACAGGCTCGCTAATGTATTTTTTAGCTTTCATCTAATACCTGTCTTACTGATCGGGGAGTCCACTTAAAATGGAGCAATGCCGCCACCTAGCGGTGAACATCACCAACTGACACGGTGTTTTTACAGCCAAAAAGTAACAAGAGGTACAAACAACATTCAATAACCGAAAATAAACATATATTCATTGGCATCGGGTTATAGAGAAAGCAAAAATCCATCATAAAATATTCAGTTCTTTGCCTTGATTGTCTTTAGAGTTTATATTTGTTGAATATTGTATAAAGATGACATTTGACATCTTCCAAAAAGTGCATGAAATTAGGTTTGGAGAGAGACCATTTCGCTTTATGAATATGAAACCTCCCTTATATAAGAAACACATGTATGATATATCATTTTCAAACTTCAAACTCATCACATCTAAAATTAAATAAAGCATCAAAATATATCAATTCTTATGATACTCTCAAGTTTTTCCCCATAAAGTTTTGCCCATCTATCCAAAACATTTTACTAGTGGAGTGTTCACATTGGCTGTGAGATACTGTGAGTTCAAACTGAGTGAGAGATTTTCTCCCTGGACTACAACACATCCTGAATCTCTTATCTTAATAAACTGTACGTGTCTCCAATCAACCAATACAGACTAGTTAGTATGAGGTTATTGTTATGCTATGATGTGCCTCTAGCTCAAATGCACTGAAATACTCCTTATAATTTCAGTGTAATGGGCGTGGCTAAACTGCTGTAGGCTGAATAGGTGGATAAATTGTTTTTTGTGACCTCTCGCACACACACACACACACACACACACACACACAATCTACACCGCTTATCTTTCTGGGTCACGGGGGTACTAGAGACTATGCAGGTGGTCTTTGTGTGGAAGGCAGAAAAAACCCTGGACAGGATGCCAGTCCATCACAGGGCCTCACAGAAACAAGGAACTCAAATGTTTTTTGCAGCTTAGTTTTCATACATGGGCTGTGGAGTGAATGGAATAATTAGAAACTTTAACAATGTTTACATCCTGCATCAAGCTCCTTAATTACAAGAAAGTGAGGAAATAATTTTTTCCATTATATGAGTCCTTTAAAAATTTTGATAGCCACAGTGCAAGTTGTGCAACATAGCAGACGATGAGTGCGATCACACAGGCTGCATTTTACAACTTCTACAATCCTCGAAAAACACGCCCTAACTTAATACACCCCTAAATCTAGCTGCTGGATACCTGAAACTTTCTGTGAGTGTTACTTAATGACTTTAATGACTAATTAGTAATTGCAAAGCAATTGTGTTAAAAGCTTAATTATGATTTTTGTCAGAATTCTGCACTGCAGTCAAAACTCATTGCACCACTGGGATTTGATATCCTAGGGTTGTCCAAAACAATGATTAGAAGTATACACTCATTCAGATCATTCTCTAGCGCACACTCCATGTAGAGCTTTGTATCATTATTGTGATAAATTACATCACAGTTTCTAATTGGTTCATGGGTATTGTAAGTACTTCATTTGTTCAGTGGAGCACTGAACAAATGCATGTATCATAAAAAGAAAAATTACAGAGAGACTGCAAGCAATAACCAGTGTACGGTAACTGCATAATCAGCATAGCAGCAATATCTCATTGTCAATCTTTTCTGCCATTATCTTATTTTATTAATTTATTTTTACCAGTTGTTTGATTTTTTTCATGTTCCTCTGAAATAGTTTGGTCAGAGCCTGACCAAGTCCAGCAGGACTGGTCAAAGCTGCTAGACAGCTGAGATTTTAGCAGAATAATGCACATCACTGGGGCTAATATGAAAAAGTTTGATGAAAGATTAGTACAATCAAAGCCTTCATAGGAAAGTCTGTCTGTCCACCAGGCAACCATCCTGGCAACAACCACAGACTGTGTCCAAACCTGCACACTACCATTGTAAATAGTACGTCAATGTAGGGTAGAAAGGTATAGAATAGTACAGAATAGTGTAGAATAGCATCTGATTTTGGTTGCAGCTCGAGTCTCACAAAACTTTGAGAGTGTCAGATAATCTGGTGGGTTTTGTCACGAGACACATCAAGCTGACTTTTAACTATTGTAGTTATAAGTAAGAAGTCTGTCACTAGATTGTGGCAAGATCAAACCATTCAGCTCCTTAAGTCAATCATTACATGGCAGCTAGTGGATGTTATGCATGTTATGGATGTTGTGAAGCTGCAAAGCCAAGACACCAAGCTAAAGAGATCCAACTTGTAAGGAATGCTTCCAGAACAGGCGGCTCTGAATCAGCTGTCCAACTTGAGCAGTCTGCTTATATGACCAAGACAAACACTTCTAATATTCCTACCTACGCTGAACCTGTTTTCAACTCCTCATTAAACTATCAAGACCCACTTTCGGTCCATCATTGTGTGTACTTCTTCACTTCTGAGAACAAACTGGCCCTCAGCTGTCAGGGAATGTTGCACCAAGACAGGCCTTTCTTCTGTTGTCTGTGCTAAAGTATAAAACAAAATGTTCTTATGAGAGGCAACAAGTGGTCCCTGCTGTGCTGGTTTTGTTTTGCAGAAGCATGTACCCAAGCACAATCAACCAACTGACCAAGTCAGTTATTCAGTACACAACTGTTTCTATGTTGACAATCAACAATGTCAGCTGCCAGCTGTCAAATACAGTGATGCAGTCATCGTGCTGGAGTCATTAGAGTCAATGATTGTGCTAGATGGTTATGTAATTTCCAAACAATACAACCCATTGAACAGGACCAGGTGCACCTAATGGTACAAATAATGTTTCTTCATGTGCCCATGTTCCAAAATGATAATGTCCCCATGTACTAAGATGAAGTCAAATGCCTCCCAAATCAACAGCCCTCTAAACATCCTTGATCTTTACAGAATGTTCCAGAGTGCAGATTACGAGGTAGATTTCCTCATGATCTCGCTGGATATTCTTTCTACTATTCCCACAAAGAGATCAGATCTGCTGATTACACAGCTTGGCTCATCTTTTGCACTAAGACAAGGAATACCACTGACCAGTCCTTTATCAAACTGACCAGGTTCGATCACTTCGTGTGATGACTCACCTCTGGTTATCAGCACTAGCAAGTTTAGAGACAAGATGCAAATGTATATTTAGAAAACCTATTCATGGCGGAGAGGTACATACAGGATAGGACAAAATCATACTCAAAGAAAACTAATTTTTACACTATTTTACTATTATAAACATTATTTATAAAATCTCAGAAGGCACATGTAGATTCACAGGCCTTTTGAATAATAAATGAAATGGCTATATTTGAACTGTAGATATTGTGACCCCTGGTTTCTATAACCACCACTGTACAGAAATAAGTTATACAGTTGGTAAGAGTCCCTATGGACCATTTGACATCAAACTCTGATCTCAAATGACTCTGATCTCAATGACTGAAAAATACAGAAATTTTTAAAAAACAGTGGACTTCCCCTTTAAAACTCCCATCTAACAACAGACGTCAGTAATATGAGCACTGCTGTTGTAGCATGCTGGTTCTATTTGTCATGGTATTGCTGCACATCACAAAGTTGTACTTGCGTGATGGGCTTAGACAGAGGTTCTTTCACGGGTGCCAACACAAATTTAATAAAAGGCATGCCTGATTAATTACTTTAGCGGAGACAAATTTATCTGGTTATGCAAACCCTGCTACCTAAGTAGTTGCTTTGGAATGTAACAGAATTCAAAGAAAAAACATCCAGTGTAACAGTTTTTTGCGTGATTATTTGAATTCCAAGCTAAATGTTTGCTATCTTCCAATCTGTTGGGTAACCTAAATGGCAGAACAGTATTTGTGATGTATGTATTGTTACACTCTTATTACAGATGTTATGTATATCTGTAGTATATAGTATTTATTTATAGCATTTAATATGTATTCACAGAATATACACCTGTAGTATACAGTATGTATTTAAGTGCAGTATACATCTAATAATATGTGTTTGTAGTATACAGATACATACACATATAAAAGTATCAGTAGCATATAATATGCAGCATATAGCATATAATATGTAGCATCCATTTGTAGCACATAATTTGCATTTGTAACATGCAAATTATGTACCATGTATTTCTTTTGAAAAATACATTTTATTTTTAGATTTTTAGTATACATCTGCACTGTGTTTTCTGCATTCATGTCTTATAGGTGGTATGCATCTGAACAGTTATGGAGATTCATAGAGCTTTCACAACTCATCATGGTATTCAACCTGTTAGGACTTACTGTGTGGAACTGCCTCACCTTCCGAACTGAATGAAAACAGGTGTGACATATATACACACAAATACGCTCATATGCACTCTTCCTCATTGAGAAAGGATAATGTTTTCTTGCTAGGCACTGTATTTTTTTGTGTCTCCAGGGGCATGTTGAGTTTGATTCAAAGCTGTTCTGTGCTGCTGAAGTATAGTTAAAAGACCTTTTAAGCAGTTAGTTATTCAATTTGTAATTTTTCAGTACAGGTTAATTTCTGTACCTTGTAAAGCACTTCATTCAAAACTTGTTTCACTGTAAAAGGAATTACACTGTTTCATTAATAGTCTGGTTTCAAGCATAATTAGTCAATCAGATGATAGAAAATTCTGTTAAACGTCTCAAAAAGGAATTCCACTGATTTTTCAATATTTCTGCATAATTCCATCACTAAGAAACAAAGATGTTTTTATTTTTTTCACCCAGAGTGGTTTGATATGAAATGATTCATTGTGGAGAAACATACAGACTCAGATTTCTTTATAGTGGTGGTGATAGGAACCAGGGGTCATAATGTCTAAAACACAAATATCACCATTTTATCTACTATCCAAAACCGCAGTGAACCTACACATGTCTTCTGAGTCTTATATGTAATGTTAATGATGGTATAATAGTCATAAATCTGAAAAATAAGTTTTCTTTGGGGACTATTTTGCCTAACAATGCTCTGCATGTATTCCTCCACCACGAATGGATTCAAATAAATGGAATACATACAATACATTTTAAACCAAGACTTTATCAAAAAACAAATCATAAAACAATGTCTCAGGAATCAGGCAGCACATTTATGAGCATTTCATTTAATAGCTTTCTGTGAGAGAGCTTTCGGAAGCAATAAACTCCTCAGACGCCTGGTTCCTATCAGCACCACTGTGAACAATTCTGACTCAAGTTTCTCTGGAATGGAGCAATTCACACCAAACCACTGTGAATGACATTTTTACATCTGAACTATTTAATTATCTAGAATTTTTTGCAAAATTGGTGGAGTTCTCCTTAAGCAACTACAAATTGACCTGATATCCAAAAGTTAAAAATGACACATTTTCAGCAAAATTACTTCTTTATTTTCATCTTTTGCAGTTTCAAAAATAAGAAAAAAAGGAAAAGGGCCTGAAACAAGCATTTGGGCACCTTGCGTGGTCAGTATTTAGTAGCACCCCCTTTGGCAAAAATCACAGCTTAACACTTTTTGTAGCCAGCTAAGAATCTTTCACTTCTTGTTTTGGGGGATTTTCACCAATTCTTACTTGCAAAAGCGTCTTGCACGCACTGCTCTTCTGACGTCTATTCACAGGATTTCGATGGGGACCTTTTAAACCTTTGAAATTTGCATCACCTGACCTTTCCTAACGATGACTGTGAGCAAGCCAAAGTGGCCATGACTTAGTAAGGCATGGGAACAAGATCCTAATGCGTGGCCACAACTTAGTAAGGTGTGGGTACAAGATCCTAATGTGTGGCCACAACTTAGTAAGGCATAGCAACGAGCTAATGCCCTATAAAGCCGTGGTCAAGGCTTAATTTTCTCATTTCCTCGCCTTACTAAGTCGTAGCCGCGCAGTAGCATCTCATTCCCATGCCTTACTAAGTCGTGGCCACAACTTAATTATCTCATTCCCAAGCCTTACGAAGTTGTGACTCTGCATTATTTTAATTTCTAAGGGATGTCTGTCACCAGCAGGGCTCCGCATGATGGAGATTTTAGCGCCATTAAAGGATCCAGCCGTCTGGTTCCTATAAGCGTCGCTGTGAACGAATCCGACTCGGTTTGTCCAGACTGGCTCCTTTCACATCAGATCGCTCTGAGTCTGAATGTCTTTCTTTACATCTAAATAATTTCATTATGCGGTACATTTTATAAAGAAAAAACGGTGGAGTTCCCCTTTAAACTGGCGCTGTTTTAGTCGCACATTTTTAGCGCCATAAAACCGGAATATATACACACAGCGGCGTTGACAGGAAAGCGGCTCTTCAGCGGGAGCTCACCGTGAGAATGCTCGTGCGGTCCTGTGATAAACATAATGGAGCTCTGTCATGAGGCTCGTGCGTAGGCCAAACAGTATGAACCCAAAACGCGGCGGGAATTCCCTTCACTCGACACACTTTTGTACGCCCACATGGACATTTTCATAGCCTCACTTCAACAAACTTCCTCAAATATGCCGTTAAGCCATACTTCCTCTCTTAGCGGTGCACTCACTTCCTACATAGTTCAATAACCACATCCACAGCGCAGAGAGGCTGACTGTGTTTTCGGAGGGATCCGCTACTCGCGTTCGGAAATACGAGTCTACAGAAAGAGCATGTTCGGTAAGACTGACTTCTTTATGCACGGTCGTCGTGTAATGAGTTCCTTCATTTTACTTGTGGCGAGCATCTTGACGTGTTTTAGGTCCGGGCGTTGACTCTCCTGTGTCAGTCCGTTTACCAGAGCAGGAGGGCAGCTGTGTGCACGTAAAGCGCCGAGAGGGGCTACAGCTGTTGTTCATTTATTTATTTATTTTGGTTGATTTACCTTTACTTGATATCGTACTGTCTCCACAATTCTTCCCCCGAGACTTTATCAACAGATTTGGTTTCGTTAAAGTGGTCGGTCCATAGAGAAGCTGCTGCCACTCCCAGACACTAACGCACGGGTTTCCGATTTCGCGATGAGGACCTATAATGACCTGTCATCAGCTCCGAGATTAACAGTTAAAGCCCGCTGTTTGATACCTCCGCATACTCAGATTTCTGTTTTTGTAGTGAACGTTTCGCACAAGTGGACTAAACTGTTATACTACCAGGACATTCATTTCAGGGGTAAACTAGTCAGCATCAGGTCACAGTTTATGATACTGAAGTGTCTGAATGGATTCCTATCTGAGACAAACAGCACAGACCTAAGTTGGTTGATGCTAGTGCTGGTTGAGCTGGCCACCCAGCATGGCTATGTTGGTTGACCAGCATACCAGCATCCAAAATACAACATATGCTGGTTTTGGTGGTCATCAGCATAAGAACTTCCGTTGATGCTGTCCAGCATACCTGCATCCAAAACATAACGTCTGCTGGTGCCCAGCTATTCTGGTTTTCTCTATGAGACAAAACAGACACTGTCTATTCCACAAGGAAAAGTGGAACCATCCACATCCTCATTCTCAAAGTTGCAGTATGTGTTTCGCTGTCACAACTTTGTGAAGTCCATTCAGCTGTTCACATTCACTTCTCTCAACTGAAGCAGGCCGACTATGCCCTGTTTTACAAGCACAGTGATCTGCTTTGGTTCTCCACAATACAGTACTTATGAGAGCGACTGGCCGACTGTGTGAACTAATCTGAGGAGAATGAACCTTTCTAAAAGAACATTCTTTACTCAGCAGTTTATAACACCAGAGGGCTTGTGATACTAAAAGGAGTTCCTGATTAAGGCTTCCTCTTAACATACGCCCTAACTTAGCCCTTCAGCAATTACAAAACAATGGGCTAACTGCAAGTGGAGCTCATGGGTATACAGTCAAATGGTGCATGTTGAAATGCAGACAGGTGGTGTCTTTACATAAGTTTGGTCACTTTAATTTGGAAGAAATTTGTGGCAATAACATGTTTACACATAGTTAATTCACTCAAGACACAATTCACTGGTAACTAAGTGAAAGAACCAATACTTATTTAGTCACTACACTAGTGTTTTAGCCATCATACTGCATTCTTCCTTTTACTGGAATAACTCTGACCTGCTACATCATATTTTCCTCAATGCATTTGCTGTCTTTTACATGTTCCCCCAAAATGCACAGATAAGTTCGGTTTGACACACCAGCTTTCCATAAACCATTTGAGTAAACTCAGCATGTGGGTTGTAGTGAAGAAGTGGTTAAGGACATACGGTATAGCAGACACTTCCAGTTTTTATTTCTTTTCAAAAGCAAGTACGTCTGCTTTAGTTCTCGTTTCTCTTTTCAGATTAATGCTGTATAGCATAGCTTAACATGTGGCCACAGTTTAACACACCCAAGACTTTCAACTGAGCTCATTAACAGTTTAACACCTAAAACCATATGTTTCATTAAATGTCATTTGAGTTTTAGACTATTAGATTTCACTGTTCACAGTCATTATTGTTTTCTCTTTCCTCTCATTTGTCATACAGATCTTGCTAACATGCAGCTTTATTTTGACAGCAAGTATTGTCTCAATGGTGACATCATTAGTAACATTTCCTGTAACTAAGTAGCACTGAACAAAATATGTGAACATAAAATATGCCCCAAACTTATCACACCTATTTTTTTTAAACAAGTTCGCTATAGTCAAAACATTTTTTGGTAGATTGAACTTCTCGCAACATTGTTTATATTTTAATCAGTGTTCCTGTCACACCCTCTTCTCAAGGCTCATATTATCACTCTTGCCTTCAGGCTCAGCAGGCCGATGCAGCTCTGGCCAGTAGAGAGTGAGTGACAGGAGAAGATAGAGGTTCAGGCTGTCTAACAGTGTTGTTTGGCTAAGCTCTTGGCTTGCTAACTCCACTGGCTAACGCCTTACAGAAAAGGGCTGGGCCCTGAACTGCACTCTCTCCCCCCCTGCGTCCCTGGAGATTGGGCAGAGACAGTCTTGCTTCATTCTCCCGTGGTCAATTATCTGCTGGACTCCGGCATGCAGAAAAAGAAAGAAAGAAAGAAAGAGTGAAAAAACAGGGCAGGAGAGACAGAAAGATGTTGTTCTTACCTCTTGAGCAGTGTGCTGAACTTTAAGCTACTGTAACCCCAAACTAAGTAAGATTCTTCCGTGACTGTGCACTGAAAACTGTGATAAAACATATTACATCAGCATAGCTAATGGCAAAAGCAAGGTTTTATAAGATAAAATTGTGACCCAGGAGGATAAGCAGCTTAGGCAATGTGTGTGTGTGTTGATGTTATATCTATATCTATGTATATGTTATTAATGTGGAAAAGAAGTACATATTTCAATGAAGTAACTTCAATACATTACATTTTTCATTGTATAAATAAGACAAGCAAGAAGCAAAACAAAAAACAAAAAACATAGAGATTGAACATATAGAAAAAATGGCTTTAGGGTAGTTTAATAAAACAGAAGTGCTCATTATTTTAAGTTCATCTTAAATGAGCTAGCCATTTGCTGTCCCTGTACTGACCTATCCTTTGTGCTGGACACATCTAAAGCTTTTCTCCAAGGCTTTTCAACATAAAAATTCCACTTCCTCTTTTTAATCTGTACTTTCTACAAAGTTAATGCAGCTCCAAACACTTTTATAAAGTGCACTTGGTACGTCTTTAAACATTGCCTCTAACCTACTCTTGTTCTTCAAACATTTGTGATGTGTAAGTGTTATCTATGACTCTGTGTTACTTCCCCCTGAATATCAGTCAAACAGTACTGAAGGAGATTCTGTGAAACTGTGCTTTTGCACTGTGGTTTCACAAACACAGCTCTAGCAGAGAATTTGGCTCTAATAAGGGACAACGACAATGCATATTTCTGAATTGGAAGACTGTTATGATGTGCTGACCATTATTTTCATACATGCTGTTTGAATTTCTGCTATTAGAGTTTGTGATAGTAAAATAAAAGGCTGCATAAGGGGAAGTGAGAGGAACTGGTTGAATCAAACCATATATTCAAAACATTGTTTCATGAAAAGACAAATGACATCAATGCCAAAACCATTTGCATGAACACAAATATTAAGTTTACCATTACCTTTCCCTGTTGCTACCCAGCCGGTCACTCTGATACAAGAAATACAAGAAATCTCCCGCTTGTCTGCCTGTTAATCCATTCATTCATTCATTTGGTTGTTCGTCCACATGCAGATCTAGCCACGGAAGCAGACCACTCAGCACTCATTTCTCTATGCCTAAAGTGCTGTCCAAGTTGGCCATTTCATTTGGCAAAGACAACACAGAAAGTTATCTGAACCCCCCCTCTCATCAAATGAGAGAATAATATATATATATATATATATATATATATATATATATATATTACTTTTATTTCTTCTTTTTCTTTTAAAATTGTATTTTGATGTTTTTTAGTAACAAAATATAGTGTAATGTTGTTAAATAAATTTTAAAAACTTGTTTTGAACCTATCACTCGTAAAAAAGATGGTTCTTCAAAGGTTCTTAAATAAAGAAAATGGTTCTATATAGAATTCAAAGAACCATTTGCATGATTAAAGGATTCTTTGCATTGTGAAAGTGTTCTTCAGATTGTTGGAAAATGTGCTGTAGATGGTTCTTCATAGAACTTTTTGAGAAAGGTTCTATATAGCACAAAAAGTGTTCTGCTACTGTGAAGATGTCCTGCTTGTAACAATAGCAGAACCCCTGTTGGTACCATATAGAAGCCTTTTCAAAAAGTTCTATGAAGAACTATCTACAGCATATTCTCCATTAATCTTTAGAACCATTTCACAATGCAGAGAAACCCTTAATCATGCAAATGGTTCTTTGAGTGTTGATGGTTCTATATAGAATATTTTTTTTTTACCAAAGAACCCTTGAAGAACACATCTTTTTAAGAGTGTGCCTTCTCTATTTGTATATCGTTTTGGCTTTTTTTGCCCCCTGGCCCAAAACAAGCATTACACTTTAGCCCCCCAAGGCAAAAAAGCTTGAGCACCCCCATTTACTTACTCTGTTATTGTCTTCATTTCTCACCTTACTTTACCAGTATTGCTTTTAAGCCATGAACAATTACTCAATTTCACAAACTCATGAAACAGATGTGCCTTGTGCTGTTTCTTGTCTCATCACGTGATTTGTTCTTTTACAGCACAATTAAACAATACAAGCCAAATTTCCCCAATATGTCCTTTAGTATATTGAAGTCTGTCAGAATGACCATGTGTACCATAAACATGTTACTGAACATAACCCTACTGGTGGTTTCTCTCTGAGAGTAATATGTTGTGGTCCTCTTCTTCCCTCTGTCAGATTGCTGAAGATTAAAGTGCTCCGTCCCCTCCCAGCATGCAGAGCATTAAGTGTGTGGTGGTGGGCGATGGTGCGGTGGGAAAGACCTGCCTGCTCATCTCTTACACCACCGGAGCCTTCCCCAAAGAGTACATCCCCACCGTCTTCGACAACTACAGCTCGCAGGTGACCGTGGATGGCCGGGCCATCAGCCTCAACCTGTGGGACACGGCGGGTCAAGAGGAATACGACCGCCTGCGCACACTCTCCTACCCGCAGACCAACGTCTTCGTGATCTGCTTCTCCATCTCCAGCCCGCCCTCCTATGAGAATGTCAAGCACAAATGGCATCCTGAGGTCACGCACCACTGCCCCAATGTGCCCATCCTGTTAGTGGGCACCAAGAGTGACCTCCGTAACGACCCGGAGCTGCAGAAGAAGCTGAAGGAGCAGAACCAGGCACCCATCACAGGGCAGCAGGGCCAGGCGCTGGCCCGCCAGATCCACGCCATCAAATACATGGAGTGCTCAGCGCTCAACCAGGATGGCATCAAGGACGTGTTCGCCGAGGCCGTTCGCGCCTTCCTCAACCCCCAGCCTGCTGTGTCTAAAAAACCCTGCGTACTCCTCTGAGAATAGAGAGAGAGAGAGAGAGAGAGAGAGAGAGTATAGCCTTATTTTGAATTACACAGAGATTTATATGCTAATGTTATAATAGGAAATGTAAGCCGAATCTAAAAGAATCGAAGTCCTGTGAAAACACAGAAACATATCGCCGCTGTTGTAAGAAAACCTTGTCTCCTTGAAATGGTAACTTTATAGGACAATGTTCTTAAGACAGTGTTCTTAAAGAAACAATTTGGAGGAAGATCTAATTCGCACAATTTTTCCACTCCCAAAATGTAGTCGAGCAGCCAAGTTTGGTGTTCAGCTTTTGTTTCTTTAGTTTAGAACTGGAGCTACGAGATTACGAGGCTAACATTGCTAACAAAACTACAAGTCAATAGACACCCAAATCTTTTCTGTAAATACATGCCCAAAACTTCCCTAAACTCATATAAACTGCATCCAGGTCTTAAGTAAGGTCAGGCAGACTGTCAGTGTGGTGTAGGGTACAGTATGACTTACTGTGAACTATAAAAATGGATGCATTTGTGGAAATGAGTTGGGTGTCTGTTGACTTCTAGTGTTTGTTAGTAATGTTAGCTCTAGTTCCAAACTAAAGAAGCAAAATTTGGACACCAAACATGTCTTGGCTGATCGTCTACATCTGGGGTAAGTGGAAATTTGTCAAAATTAGATTTTTGATAATTCCTTCAATTTAGCATCTGTATATATAGCCAGTAGAGCTCAGGACATTTTATTCCAAGTAATTTTGGGCCATTTCTATTTACCCACTTCTCATGTAATGTTTCTGCAATATAAAGGGCAGCTGGTGTTTTCAATGGTTTAAAAATAAAAAAACAAAACAAATAATATGTAGTTACGAAGTTTCCTTCTAACAGCGACGATATACTGTAGAAATGGAGTAAACTAGCAAGGCAAGAGAAATGTACTCTTTAAGTGAAAATGGCAATAAATACTGTACCCCCAAAGACACGAACTGATAAACAAATAGATAGATAGACAGACAGACAGACAGACAGACAGATAGATGGATAGAACAGTACATGCCAAATGTGAAGGCAATTTGAATCACATTCTTTGACAGTCTCTTTTAATGGAATACAGAATAATATTGTGACATCTATGATTTAGCTGTAGATACCTGTGGATTTCATGACCTCATGAAATAGCCGTGTGCCTTGTTTTGAAACATATCTGAGAAATACATACTCCTTCAAAATAAATAAAATAACATTTATAAAGTGCAGGTTCGAGCAGCTTTAATGAATGAAGTCCCATTAATCCTATGCGGTTTATTGATTTTTATCAAAGAGGCATCTGAGATTGTACTTAGTTTAGTCTAATATTTATGACAAAGTTTTTACGTGCCTCAAGTGTTTGTTCAGCTCTGGGGTTACATCCCTAGCAGAGCAGGCTTCCAGTGCATTCATTGTCTGTGGTCATTTAACTTCTGCTGGAGATAGACGTCAGATTTCAGCAAGTCTGTAAGTACGTCAGTGGCTTTAGCAATTTCTGGTTGGAACCTGCAGTTTTGCATTAACCACACTACTTCCTTATGGTGGGGGAAACAGCATCTTGGCAGCCCATTCAGGAAGCAGAGGCTCCAGCATGCATCACACTCCATTCTACACACTCACTGTTTCCCCACAAGTCTGGGTGGAGCTTAGCTGTGAAGCAGCTAGAATTAGAAAAGCTCTCTCGTTTTCAGATCTTGACTGATTTGGAATTAGCTCACAGTATCACTGCAGGCTAATCGAGGCCACACTTGTGCGTCCTAAGGTAGTTTTATTTATTTAACAATGCTTTAAAAACCCTGAGAAACTTTATTACCTGTTCACTCATAAAATAAAGGTTCCTAAATGGTTCATGGCTTGGATGCATGGCTTAAAAACATTAATATAACATAACTTTTATATTGTATGGAGGTTCTTTGCACTCATACATCTCATTTACTAAAATGGTTCTTCAAGAGCTATGCCAAAAGGAACTAGAAGTTATTTCATGGCATCACTGCAAAGAACCCCTTTTTGGGACCTTTATTTTTAAGAGTGTTTGTGAACTGATGTGGGAAGGTTTTTGAGTCCATTATATATGAACAGTAATGATATAAATTAGAGGTGGGCAATATGATGATATTTATAGTTAGAAATCATATCACATAATGCTTTTTCCAAGCATATTGTCAATATTGTTAGTAAATTGTTTAATTGTTTAAATGTTTAATTGAATTTAGAGCAGTGTGAGATGTTGAATAACAATCACTCTATACAGTTTTAGATGTGAAGTGTTTTCCTGTGGCACCTTTTTTTTTGTCTGTTTCAACTCATCAAACCTCAGAAAAACTAAATATCACGATGGATGTTATGTATCAAGAAAATGTCAACTTGTCAACTGTGATGTTATGTTTTTTTGCCATATTGCCCACCTCTTCTTTAAATGCAGTGTTTAAGCATGTTTCATCAAGTTACTGACAAATGTTCACTGCTTGAGCTGTGTCTATGAATTTGAAGCTACAAACATGTCTCCAAATCAACTTTTCAGCAAATGAAGTGGCAGGCTTCTTCTAAAAATGAGTGTACTTTTTGTGGACGGACAAAATAAAGCTCTGAGTGACTTGCAGAATAGCCATTATTTGCAGAATTGAAAAATCCTAAGAACATGCCAGCATGACTTTGTGAATTTTGATTGAATAGTTTGAGCTGAATCTGATAATATTACATCAGATTCTGTATCTGCCTCTGACTCTACATTTAATGGATGAATATCTTGCCTTTGAAACGGTGTATAGAAGACAGAGTGCACGCCACTGTTTGTTTAACATTTCAAAGCATGAAGTAAATAATAGAACTCATACCGAGAGAATTCCACTTAACTAGAGTGGCCCTTTAGCAGCTGTTTTTCTCTGGCTTATTTTTATATGCTTGTTGTTTTGTTAATCTGTTTATTTACATTGCTAAGGTACCATGCTCAAATGAATCGATTTTTTTAGCTGATCGAAATATGTCATGGTGTCAAATGCAGTAAGAATGTACAATGGTGATTGTCCTTTAGACACTGAACCAATATTAGACACTGCGTCCAATATTAGGTGAAATTCAATGTCTGGGAAATTATGCATAACTGAAACATATTTAGAATACCTACGTGTACATGTAAAGAAGATGCAAGTTGAAAGCATGCGCAAGGGTGAATCTGCTCTATATAATGCATTTACATAGTTATTTCCTGAATTTTTAGTTGTTGTATGCTTAATACATGTTGCCCAACCCAGACACAATAAGGTTTTACATCATTGTAATTGCTCCCGAATGTATGGAGCACTGAAGACAAAAGGCCCTCAGTCCGTGAAGCCGGACACAGAACAAACTTGTGTCACTGATAAACAATCCAGCCTTAGCAGCTAAGAAAAGCTCGTCTTTTCCTCAGGCAGTGACCACGGCATGTTGTGGTGTTCCATGGGAAGTAATCCTCCTCCTGGAAACAGAGCAGGGAAGGGTTTACGTTTCCACACACTTCCGCCCCGATCCGCTCACCCTCCACAACAACTCCACGCCTGGCCTGCCTCAACTGCAATGCCTATACAACTTACTCTGATCATTTATATTACCAAAGTATGCCACGTCAGAGGCACTTTTGTCATTTTAACTCTCATTTCCCCCATCGTCTGTTGAAGCTTTAATGTGAATTACATGTACAGTGTTTAACTGTTTGTAATTTATTCACCTTAATTTTTGATGAATTCCTGTTTAAAATGTCTTTTAATGCAAATAAATTGAACACGGCTTTGATATCATGCCTTGTAAAATGAAGGCCACACTGAATTCACTGTCGCCACAGACTGTAACCTTCTCAATAATATTATTTAATTGACTTTGATTTTGTGAATATGTTCATTTAACTACTTGCCCAGTTTTAATTGCAGTTATCATCTAATACCTGGTTTGGCTAAAACAGTACTTTGGTACATTAAATAAGGTGTGCTGCTGGTGGATTTGAACAGTGGATGTAGGCATTGAGGAGAGATCTGGAACCAAACCTGTGTTTTTCTAACTATCACGAACGATATCAATTATATCAACTACTTTTTAGAACATATTTTTCTAATGGCTATGTTTATGTGTATGTATTCTAATGTTATACAGTGTTCTACTGGCAAAAATTGATTTAAAATATGTATACGATTTTTTCAATGGTGACAATACATATATAAACAGAAGAAAACAGACTACAGTGTATTAAAGCATAAAAAATACAGAATTTAGTAACTGTTTACAGTTAGTAACTGTAACAAACAGTTTCTTGCATGAATGACTATGAAGTGTGCAAGGTTTTATCCACTGAGTCATGCAGTGACTGCGTTGTGCCAGAGATGAGTGTGTAGACTGAAAGAGGAAGCATAGATACTGACATATTTAAATAGACCCACATGCTGCTCTCTGATTTCCCTATCGAACTGTTACTGACACAACATTTAACACAGGAGAGGAACGGAATGGGAATGCACGTACTGTAATATCTGAGCTACTTCCCTCTGTGCTACACAACTTTATTCTTTCTGTTATTTCTCTCTGTTCCTTCTTTCTTTCTCTCTCTCTCTCTGTCTTTCTCTTGGCCTCAAGCCCTTGCATTCAGTGATGAGGCTGTTAACATAAGAGGCATTTTAGAAATACTCAGTGTCTGCTTCCTGAAATTGTCACACTTTTTGTTGTTCTATAGTTTATGTACAAATGCTCAAATTGTGAACAAACCATCTGGTGAAACTCTAGTGATTATCAATAGCATCGGGGTTAAGGTTCAGGTTTTGAGCTGAGGTTAGAGCTACAGTGAGTGTTAGATTGAAGATTACAGGAAAGTTAAATATCACTACGCTGGTATGTAGTGTTAGCACAGTAATACCTAAGGCTTGCTTACTGCAGGAGAAGTTGCATACTGAATAACAAAAAACCTACAAAATAGGTGTTGCGTTCCATTCTGTACAAACATAAGAAAGAAACTGATGCAGACACATGCCCATTGTGGTCTTTAGACCACAAACTAGCAAGAGACACATTCAGTAAATTTAGCCTGCAAAGTCTCTGTTCATGTGGTGAACATTTTTTACCTGATGATTACAAGGAAGGTCTCCAGCAGGATATGCTAAAACCTAAAGCTGCACCAAATAAATTCTTACAGAGGGCTCCTCAAAGAACTGAATCTGAGGTAAACTCTGTTTACTTTCGTCTTCATTGTGCTCACTTACTGTTATGCTCTAAGAGTCACTGGGTCAGTCCAGCATCCAACTGATGCATTTCTTCATGTGTTTATTCAGGTTCCAGCATATACAGTTAAAGCTCATTTGTGCAAAAATGTGGTCCTCAAATTCATAACTGGACATTGTATTGGTTTTCTGAGTTTCTCGCTTAGCTTCTCCATGTACATTTCATTTACGGTCTGTCTGTGTTGTGAATTCCCTTAGAATCGTCTTTGGTCATCTTGCACAGGATGATACCAATTGTGCTCAGGAAAGCAGTGATTCTGGTTCTCCTAAATGGCTGCCATTCTTTTTCGTTTTAATTGTTCATAATAAGTTCATAGTAAGTCATACCTGTATCAACCTGTCTACATGACCTGAATTAAGACCTGGTGCAATTTGAGTAGGCAAGTTTTAAGCAAATGGGTATGGAAACATTTTGGGTGATTATTGACTTTCAGTGTTTGTTAGCAATGTTAGCGTAACAACTCCAAGTCTAAACAAAAGAAGAAAAATATAGACACCAAACATGTCTTAGCTGATCGACTGCCTTTGGGGTGAATGGAAAACCATGCAAATTCGATTTTTTGCCAAACTATTCCTTTAAAGACAAAGTGAGCCTCTACAATGCATCTACAGTGTACTAACCAAAGAAAGTGTTACTGAAACTTGCACTTGCTACAGTTTTTCTAGGGGAAACTTTTCACAACATCTGTGTTACTGTCACTGCCTGAATCTTATCTGCTCAGGCCTTTTTGTGTTTTGAGTGCAAAAGAGGTCAATGATCATTTGGGGGAATTAACCAATGGAGGAATTTCCCCCCCAAGAGCACTTCTGTATGCCCACTTCCTCCATCTCTGTCCCTCTTCATAAGTAAATAAACAGGCTGCCGTTATTTGGCAGTCCACCATCAACATCCCACTTTTCTTGGGACAGAGACAGACTTGCCTGTGTCTATTATGGGTGGAAGTTTGTATTTTGATTTGTATAAGACTTCCTTCTACAATGACAAATGTACACACCTTATGTCTATTTATCCATCAGCACGTCCCTCACTGTAATAAGAATAGTGTTCACTAGCCCCCGTCGGCTGACCAGTTATTTGACAGTCAAATGAGCTCTCAGTACTTCCATTTGTTTTTCAGGTGATAACAGAGATGCTTTGTCCCGGCAGTTTCATTCATTTGTTTACCTGCCATGTGGAGGAGCTGTAAACCTGAAGCTTATTGGCTGTGACAGTAATCCTGTAATAAACAGACAGTAGGTAAACACACTGTGAATACATTATTGTTCTGCTATGTCATGTTTTGTGATCATCAAAAGGATGTCATGAAGTAGATGTAATTCTAACATGCCTACTGGATTTCCTTTACCTCTACCCCATTACATTTAAAATAATTACAGAAATAAAGTAATAATAATTATAAAATATGAAATTTAAATCCTCGTAGAAATAAATGTAGTTTCCTAACAGTTTTTGAAATCTTACTTTCACTTTCAATACTCACACACATTTATCATCTATCATATATCACCAATATCATTTCACGATACTGCTTTAACAATTTGCATTCACTTGTCTTAATCCTACAGCTATGGAATTATGGAAAGACGTGCGGAGCCATAAAATGTGCAGTATACTCTTGAAAATAAAAGGGTTAAAAAGGGTCATTTAGAGCAATAACATAAAAGAACCAACGTTTAGTTCCCTACTGAAACTTTCAATGAAGTGGTTTTACAGCCCCTTCCTGCAAACCCCCTAGCAGCCAATCTGCCAGTGGAATCAAAATTGCTAGGGTCTTTTAATTACTATAATCAAAAAAATATATATTTCCCCCATATCTGTTGTTAGATGTGAAAGGGGGAGGGTTAGAATCTCAATTCACACCTCTCCACAAAGACAGTCACACCGAGATAAAACTGATAGCGCAACTGTAGCTTTCTACATATCATGTACAACTGCCACAATGAAAAAAAGCATTTCAACACAATACAAATAGAACAGTAACACAGCTGTTGTGAAAGCAAAGGAACACATAACTGAGGGACCTTCAAAACAAGCAGAAAATGCATTTTATGGTTACAATGAAAAACGAGTTAAAGAACAATTATTCTAAGGGAGAGGTGTTTTTTACTTTTTCAAGGACCTATACATAATGTCAAGGTTCTACACCATTTAAAGGTTTTTCCTAGAACTATACATCCAAGCCAAGACCCGTTCAAGAACTTTATTTTTAAGAGGATTTCATCTAGTAGCTACATGCTTAGGAACATGTTGGAACACAGAAATTTATTTTACACTTATCTGAAGCGGTTAGGTACATAAAAATTACCAGAATTACCTCACTGTATCAGGAATTACACAGGAAGTGCACCGCTTTGATACTCATACATTTAAAGAATGGTTCACATTGAGAAGTATTTTTAAATTCTCGTATGATGATTGTACTTAATCTATGTGCAGAATTCAATCATGTAATATCTATTAAACTCTAAGGATCTATAGATTACTTTTTGAAATCTGTTTCTGTCCAATTCTCCAAATTCATCAATTTTTTAACTGCCAATAAATTAAGTATAAAAATGGAAAGCTATATTAGTCAGTATTAGTGATTCACACCACTAAATACAAAAGAATTAAACACCAATGGCGTTTTATTAGCTATATTATTAATCAGTGCTTATTTGCCTACGTTAAGTACTTTAATATATACACCGGCAGTGATGGTTGTGCTTGATATGAACTTAAAATACAATCCACTGTCATAGTTCATCTGCTACTGCTACACCTCAGAAACTCACAAATATGAGGTATGTATTACAGAGGAAGTTTGATTTAAATGCAAAGGATTTCAGCAAAAAGTTAGTTCTGGTTATACAGGAGTACCGAAAACAAGATTTGGGACCAAAACGTCTCTATTTTTGTGCTTCTGCTGGGCTACTTTCCAGTTCTCTTCTATAGAGCCAAAAACTAGAATTATTCTTCTCAGGGGAGGAGAGACGGCTTAACAAGCAGAATCTACTAGGTTTGTTATAACTTTCTAATAAACATGGATTCCTGTTGTGGCTCAGCATGTGACACATGGGAGCACTGAGTGGTCAGTTATGAAGATCCATCGTAACAGAAACTGCAACACCTGGAATCCAGACTACAGCCCTGGTGCGTGCATTGGGATGCATGGAGAACAGAGAATTTTGCAGTTATGAGATCTAATCAAGTCATATAAGTTAGACTTGGAATCAAGTACATGAAAGTTTTCCTAAAACTTGTAAATATTCCAGGTAAAAAAATATCAACAATCTGTGCATAAACACTGTAAATACAGGACATCACTGATACAGCAAATAATGTTTATCAACAATATTAATTAATTTGTATATTCAATCAGGTACATTTAGGAATTTTATAAACATTCTCATAAAAACAAAAATACACAAACATGCCACGTCCACTTGATCGCAACATCTTCATCACAAGAGTGGCCTTTTGGGGTATTTAACCTTGGAGCTCTTTTGGTTCCCATGATAATGTTTTTTCCATCTTCTCTATAGTCAGATGCGCTTGCCCTCCGGCACAGTTGCCACCATAACATCTTTACTTCCAAAGTCCCAGAAGGCAGTCATATGGAAGGCCATGTTGGAGAGCACAACCAGGTACTCGCATAGTGCGAATAATGTGTAAACTAAGAAAAGAAGAAAGAAATGAATCAGAATCAGTCTCCAGCTGTTCAGATAGTTTGGAATGATTAAGGATTACAAAGCACTAAAGCCTAAGCCTATAAGGAATGTCTGAAACAGTGCTGGAGGCGCTCTGAAGACGGGATCTACAGGAAGCACTGTGAATATTTTTCCAGGGGTGTGTAACCTCCTACTTTTGTTGTCGAACACTTGATCCAATATCAGAAACCACACTGCCATTTGTGGCAATTCCTAGATGTATTTAACCCCTTTAGCTTTTTAATTAATCTTAAGACGTATCATACAGTAGCCACTATTAAATATTCTGGAACATCTGTGAACTAATGTGTAAATTACACAGTATAGGGCCACATAGAGACCGGTGTTACAGCCTCAGAAGGAACGCAGAACCTCAAAGCTGCTACCGTCGACCAAAGTCAATCAAATTCTAAAATTCAATAAGTAAGATAAAGTAATCTTGAAGAAATTAAACAATGAATACTTGACTTAGCTGACAATAAAAAAACAACTTCCATGGTAACATATTTTGCTACACAGACCATTATACTGAATTAGTTCAAATTGCGGTCCCACAGAAAAATAAAACCTATTTTTAAATAATTTCACATTCAAATATTAGATATTTACAATGATTATTTTATGATATATTTAAACCCAAGGCATCCACTGAAATAGTAATAAGCCAAATATACACAAAACCAACATTTTAAGATGAAGATTTAGATCATGAGTTTAAGGTTTAAACAACAAAAAACGACAACATAAAAAAACGCTATGCTGTCTCTACCATAATACATTCTTTCTGTAACAAAAAACTTTGTGTTTTAATGAAAAATATTATGATTTTATATGTATAACTGTTTAAAGCTTTGTTTGCTAGTAATTTACTGGGTAGTATTTTTGAGTTCTGCTCATAAATAGAGTTCATTCCAAATATGATTTCTATATTTTAAGAAATTTAGGTAATTATGGTTTTTTAAAATGAGATTTCACACTGGACAAGTATTTCATATTTAACCATAGTCTTCTAATTTATTTATTCAAATTTATTTATTCCAACTGATCACCGAAGACATCTTAGGTATCATCTTATTATCTCAAAATTACTTGAAAATCTGACGTTTTGAAATGAGATACTTTCATTTTAGAGGGACTTTATCGATAGTGGTCTGGACATGTCAGGCTAACACCCGATCCGTTTAACAAGGTCAATATCAGTGCATCAGTAGTATTCACAATATGCTCAGAAAAGCATACTGTGGCATTATTTATCACAATAATGACACAATACACTGCCCAGCCCTATTATATAGCTACAACTTAAATCTACTAGCAGATAGTCAGGGTGCCAAGATACCAATTAAATAACTCTCAATACATCTTGATTTTTGCATTCTTTAGCCTATATTATGTTGTAATTAACAAGTACTAAATCTAAATGTAGCCCACTCTCTGCACACTTGTTAAGTCTACAGGCCTGTTTCCTCATCTAATAGGTGTTCTTTGTGTCAGTTATTGTATACATTACTGCTTGTAGCAGTACTGTTTATTTTTCACCAGCAATGTACCAATGAAACATTTCATAAAAAATAAATAGAATTAACTGGAGTACTCCAAGTTGGGCTGTGCCAAATTACCCAATTTTATAATGTCTCTGGGTGTGCACGAGTTTATTTTACATTAAAGAGCTTATATAAAAGAGATTACTTAAAAATCTGAATATGATGTTTTGTGATTCGATTCAGATTCTTTTAAGACAGAATCTGGCCCGCCCTTGTTCACTGGTTTCTATATGGAGGTCCTTTGCATGATGCTTCAGCAGCAGGCCCCTTCTCGTCCTAAATAAGGGCAGACCTATAGTGACTGATACTCAGAAAAAGTGGCAAAGATGGCTAAGAGAACTCACTTCCTGGTTCACAATACTTGTTGTGGCGCATGAAGAAGTAGCCAGCAAATAAACACAAGCCAACGTTGAAGAGGAAGAGGCGGACCTTGTAGCGGTATGATGTCATCTCCTGTTTCAGAGACAGGACAAAGAGAAGGAAACTGAGAGATGCTAATAGAGAAGGAGAAAGGCCAGCCTCAGAAAGACGAGGAGGGAGTAGAAATCGTTGAACGTTTCACCACTTCTCCTCTGCAACTTGCAGTGGTGCAAGCAGCTGGCGACAGGTTCTGTAAAAGCTCAGTCTATCTAAACCACTTCCCTTGCACATTGTACATTACACACATGCTGCAAGTGCACTTTCACAGCCTTAAAATAAAGAGCCACTGCGGTCTCCAACACATCCACTCCCAGTTCACAGATACAGCTACACCTCTCATTATCACAGTATACATGCTATCATGTCAAGGGCAAGTCAAAACGTTGAACAGTAAATAAATGTAACAAACACAGCTTAAAAAGTCAAGTACTTGAGCACACTTAACCATTACAATCACTGTAGTGTTCTGTATGTGCAAACTACAGAACAAATCAATACACTTAAAGAATGGTACTGAATATTTCACAGTCTCCAGTAATTACAAACACAAAACTAAATCTAAAGCAGATGAAGTTTATAACTGTTTTGCTGTTCCAATGTAGTTTTTATTTCTATTTTTTATTCTATTTCCATGACATTCAGTCTAGATTTTCCAAGAGGATTTTTTTAACACATGTTGATTTTCTAAATGAGAATAATAAATAATAAATACACACACACACACACATATATATATTCACTAAGTCACTATTTTCACAGCCTACTTCTCTCCTGTAGTCTTTTCTATCTACTTTATATTTTTACAGACAGTACATATAAACTCAGCACAAGGAGAAAATATCAGCTGTCTATTAATAGTCGTATCAGCTCTATTATTTATCCATCAATTAAAGCACAAATATTTTGGTAACTCTAACATAACAGGTCATAATAAACAGCAACTGAATCATTATCTAATAGTTTGATGACTGTTAATGATTATATAATAGTTACATATGGATTAATAAATGGCAGCACTTGAATTATTAACTACACATTTAGTGACATACAAATAATCCATCATTACTGAATCAGAGAAACCAAAAGACCTTTAGTTATTTGATACTCATAATTAATAAATTACACAACTCGAAATATTAAGCACTTACGAGGTTGTCTGAAAATAATTACTATAAACATGAATATAAAAATTGGATCCCTATTGTAAAGTGACTTTATAATGTATTTAGCCCTTTTCACTGGATGTTTTGGAGGCCCCTCAGTTCAGCCTTTAAATATTCAGTTCAGACTTTACATATTTTTAAGAAAATGTGAAAACATTTTATTTCAATTTTACTTATACTTTAAACAAAAATATATATTTTGATATATCAATAAAAAATATCCAATGAGTCCATTTCTATTCCACCAGCAGAACAGAGTATTTTAATGGCAGTGGTTATTTTCATTTTCTTTTCAGATTTCAAACATATTTATTCTTTAATAGTTTTAGCTTTCATTTTAGTTTTACTTTAGTATAATACAAATTGTATATACTCAGTTGCTGACACCTTCATCTGAGTAGAACAGAAACGGATGAGAAGAACAATTAGGCATATTTGCACTGATCTAGCAATAGATAAGACTACAGGTGCAAAGTAGGCTGTGAAAATTGTGCCCTCTGCTGATCACAGGATCACAAAACAAATGCAGTCAACCAAATTCAAGAGTACAGGAAAGTTACATTACCTCAGCACTAACAGGATACTTCGTAATCACCTGCCACAGCCTGCAGGTGCACATCATGTGCAGCAGGGAGCTCCCAATGAACACAATGAAGCCGTTCTTATGAAGACCTGAGAACCAACAAAAAACCAACCCCATCAGCCAGCTGTCTCTATAGTCTCCTGGCACAAATTCTTATCTGTGTAAAGAGAGGAAGCCAAGTGCATTTAACCTATCAAATAGCATGAGTGGCCAACAATGAGTTTCGGACTTTGGGCAATAGGCTATAAATAATGTCAAAACTTACCGCTTTATACTATCTTGATTGTGTGTACACATAATTATTATTTGCCTTTTAACGCCTAAAACAAGCATGTCAAATTGGGTTCCCTCTAGGATGGAGCTGAGATTGTCACTTTCCCTCATCTAATGCTATTATCCCAATTAACAAAGAACTTGCTAATCAGTTGAGGGTTGAATCAGGTGTTTTAATAAGACAGACCACTGAGGTCTGCAGTGCTGTGGCCCACAAGGACTGGAGTCAGACAAATGTTAGTTAGTAAACAACTTGTTTCTTAATCCTAACTTTGAAGAAAATCTCAAGAAAAGTCACTCCAGTGTTCATCTCGAGGCTCTGATTGAAAAAGTGTGTTAAAATCTAAAACTGTATTACAACTGTGTCACCAAGCCGCTCCTCAGTCTGTCCTGAGGGTCTCGCGTTTGCTGTCTTTTGTGGAAACTATTGTCAATGATCAAAACTAGACATCTGGATTCGTCCATCTATTACTGTGTTATTTATAGCTCAGTTAAGGGAAATAGCTGTTTTGTAAGATCATTATTTTGTACAAAAACCTATTGCTACTTTATAATATTTTGTTTTTTGGAAATAAAATTTGTGCTTTTCTGAGCCAGACCACTTGCGGTAGTATATAATTATTTTTAGTAATAAAAATTTAGTCGAAAATCAGATCAAATGTTGAACTTAAAATCAAAAATCGTATCAAACCTGAAAATTTGTGTACTCTTACACTCCTATAGATTAAATATGTGACAGGATGACAGTAAGGATTTTACAACATACAAAAAGAAAACGGCTGAGCATTGCCTCTATGACATTTTATAGTAAACTGAATTCAAGACCTAGATACAGAACCACTCACTGTAAGTTTCAGTAGAGCAGACATAGGTGAGCAGTAGCAGCCCTGCATTTTCACTCAGGGCACAGAAAAGAGTGAAGATGCTCAGCAGCTGGTCTATGAGCTGCCTGCCAAAGCGGCCTCGGTAGAAGCTGAAGTAGGCTGCCGCCACCAGGAAGCGTGGGGCAGAATGTAGGCCGATACAGAAACGCCAGATATATCGCTCTGGTGTGAGGCTAATGGCCGCACTGATGGATGGGAGGTAGTTGTGGACCTGTAGAAGAGAAGCCACACAGTAGTTAAGGAAGACTGTTGGATGAGAAAGCTTCTTTTTGAAGATGCAGTAACAGCTTAGCTATATGTTGACCAAATTAAGCAGACAGACATGACTGCTACCACTACACACTGTGTGTCTAAAGGTCAACATTTCTTCTGAAATAAAGGACATCATTTTTTTCCTATTTGCTGCAGTAACAGCCCCTACTCTTCTGGGACATCTTTACACTAGATTTTGGAACTACAAGTAGGTAATAGATAGACAGATAGATAGATACTTTATTGATCCCAAAGGAAATATGTTGTCTGTATTTAATATGACAATACGTTATCACTTTGTGCTAAAATTTATAACGATACATAATATGCTTTTTTGAGTATATTGTGGATGTTGTCCGTGTTAAAAGAACACATTAAGCGTGTTTCACTAAATACGAGCATAATTAATGCTGTTTAAGTGGATTTAGTGCAGTATGTGAATTCTGAATAAAATAACTGTGCCATGCAAATTGAGTTTGTATAGCTATTTCTAAATGTGGCATTACAGTAAAGTATATTTTGGAAATGTCTAAGTATAGTGATGTGATATTTTAGCCATATTGCCACCCCTAGAAGGAACATTGCTGTGAGGATTTGATTACATTCAGCTACAAAAGCATTACTGAGGTCAGGTACTAATGTTGGACGATCAGTTCAGGATCACAAATGCACTCCAACACATTAAAGGTATTGGATGATTCTCCCTCACTCTTCCACTGCTCCAAAGTCCAGTGCTGCGGGACTGTATAGCCCCTTAGCCTGAAGCCTGGCATTAAGCATGGTGACCTTAGACTCATGTAGAGGTGCTCCAGAGCGTCCCATTCTGTTGGCAATGCTTTTTGTTAAGAATATACAAGCTACGTGCGCGCAATGCCAGCTACCACAGTACATCTTGTCAGTAACATTAAGCTTGAAAGCTAACGTTAGTCTCTTACAACTGAAGGCGAGCTTTTACTCACTAACGTGGCAGAGCGGACTGGCCTATACTTAGCATACACACCTGGCAGTGGGTATAGGTGGCTTCATTGTAGTGATACAGAAGCGAAACCGTAATGCAAGTGATGAGTCCAAGCAACGGCAGACAGACAGTCACAACAGCGAAGAAGGTGAAAGGCAGGCGGATGAGAGGTTTATCACGGTCAGGAGAACCGTAGGGCACCTGTAGCATCCTGACAGCGACTTTCACCAACTACATATTAGCTACTAGCCGACTCCTTCACCCTAATTAGCAAACAGTTTAAAATGATCCCAACTGGTATTCTGCGCTCCATTTCACTACGCTGGAGCGTTTAGATACACATTTCGCCAGCAAACGTAACCTAGTCAGTTATATCTGAGGGGGAAAATAAACTCCGAGCTCCCACCGAAATTAAATTAGCACCAGTCAGCATGAAGCTACTTCCGTTACTGCTAGCTTAGTTAGCTAATTGGCTACTTATCTTTGACTCCGAATTGTCTTATTTCAGACAGCGAAACACCACAAGCCTGCAGTAAACTAACATGAACAATAAATGCACAGCAGCCTGTACTGATTTTAATATATATCTAATTTCAGTTACAGGCAGTAACTGCTGAAAAGCCTTCCCTAGCGCAGCGTGCAGAGGACGGTGATACAGTAACTTCCGGCTAGCGTTCGGTCAGGAGTTTTAGTCTGACAACCAAACTTCAAAATAAAAGTCCGGCCTAATTACGAAATACGTAAGAATAAACTGGGAGATTTAAATCTGTAGCTTGTAGTTCTATTCAGAGGTGGGCAGAGTAGCCTAAAGCCATACATAAAAATATTCCTTTTTAGAATTAAATAATGACCCAAGTACAAGTACCTTTCCAAACAACTTGAAAAGGATAAAAGCAGAAAAGATGCCACCAATGTAACATTATTAAACAAAGTAAATAGTGATAAATATAAAATCAGTAAAATGTAACTGAGCAGTAAATTATTTTTCTCAGAATTATACTTTCGTGTAAGTACTATCATTTGAAATTCAGGAAATGTAACTGTGTAAACAGAACTTGTTACTACTCACTTCTGGTAATAGGCTGAAAAGCTATTCCTTCATTAAGAGTCCAAGAAATAAATGGCACATTTCATAAGATTATGTAAAAAATGTTTATTTTCACATACAATATACTTTTTTTCCTATGTTCTTGCATGTTGAACTCACTGACCACGTTTGGGAATGTAGGCCATTCCTTTTTAGGAAACACGACCATAATATTGGCTACAGTATTGTGCACCATTTCCAGTACTGAATTTACAAGACAGTACTGATCAGTCTGGGTCCAATGCATTTTCAAAGTGGCTTGCACCAGGGGAAAAGATGCATAAGCCCAGAATTCTGTTCCATATTAATAACCCAATGATTTCTATAATTAGCAATCAGTCTTAACATAAAACGGACTGTTCTCACTGACAGCATACTCACCACAAAAAGTACCGCCTGTAGACAATTTATCACATTGCTTGTTTTTCAGTCTTATACCAAGGCATGAGATCTACTGTAAATTTCAACCTGGTGCAATCGCCATAAAACGCATAAGGGCCCTGAAGATGTGTTAAGATACCACAACCAATTACAACATTTTCTTTCAAAGAAAGACCAAAAAAGAAAAAGGGGAAAAAGAGTGATTCTTCCTTATTGACCCTTCTTTAAACAAAAACTCCAGTATTCCCCCTCTTTCAGGGGAAAAGACTCTTTCTGAGTCAAGTCAGTTAGGTACATATGGAAAGAGAGAGAGAGCAAAAAAGGATGTCACCAGGATCCATGTTTGGACTAGGGCTGGAGAGTGAAGATATCTACTTGTAAGGGTTTCGTCAGCAAGTCAGCAACATATGTTTCATCTCCTCTCTCTTCTTCCTCTTCGACTGACTCTAGTTTTAGTCCTTCGTTCTTTCTCAGGAGTCACTGTCGGAGCCGTTGCTGCTGTCTCGGCTGATCTCGATCTGCAGTGAAGGGAGGTTATCTAGTCGGCTTTTCTTCATTTTGCTGGACTGCTGCTCCTTCTGCTTGATCATGGCCCCCCACATCTTCTGTAGCTGAGAATCATCATCTTCGTCATCATAATCATCGACTCCATCAGAATCCACTTCATCCCGCTGCCGGGTTCCCCGTGAGAGGGAAGCACTGCTCCCTAACCGGCCAGAAAGCTTGCGATCACCTTCGCCATCTTTAGATGGTCCCAATCGGCTCCACAGACCACCTAAGAGAAATTAGAGCAAGGGCAGTTTGAGAGAGTGCATGTGCATAAGAAAGCACAGACAGAAAACAACAAAAGTTGGTCCAAATATGAGAAAAGGAGATGCGTTACCTTTTGCCTTACCTGACTTTTTGTCTTTGGATGATTCTGAGTAGAGGCCTCTTGTTTCTTGTTTAGTCACCCCCAGTCTGCTGTGAACATCTGTCAGAGGTTCTCTACGAGGGGCTGTGTTTCTCTGGGGGACAGGAGAGACAGAGCGCTGTCTGTCGGGAGAGTGTGGTCTCTTCCCCAACCTTTGTCTCACGTCTGCAATGAGAAGAATATGCCAAAATAGGAATCAAATGCCAAGAAAACCCAAAACAATATTTTTAGTTGCTTACTTTTTCCTCCCTCTTATTGTTGTCATTATTTAGCAATTTATGATAGTGTTGGACGATCTGTGGAAAACCTGTGTGATTTTTTTCTGAGCCACATTGTTGCTGTGATTTAAATGCAATTATTTTATTTAAATTAAGCTTCAGCTTTTTTATTTGCCCGAAAGACCAGGACATTCATTTTTCACGCTTGAGGCTTGAACGCTGAATGTGTTGGTTCACAAGTTCAGCATTAAGGTTACATTTCTCCACCTAAAAGTTGTTAAGACAACTGTGAATAATGTAGAACGTAATTATTACTGCAGCTCTTGCAATCTGAAAATTTCATTCTTTCAAACTGTGATTCTGATCTACATCATCTAAACCGCTTATCCTTCTGGGTCACGGTGGGGTGCTGGAGCCTATCCCAGCTGTCATTGGGCGGAAGGCAGGATACACCCTGGACAGGTCGCCAGTCCATCACAGGGCAGACAGACAGACATACACATTCACACAGACATACACATTCACACACACACACACTCACACCTAGGGGCAATTTAGCGTGTCCAATCAGCCTGACTGCATGTTTTTGGACTGTGGGAGGAAACCAGAGTACCCGGAGGAAACCCACGCAGACACGGGGAGAACAAGCAAACTGCACACAGAAAGGACTCTGGTCGCCCGGCCGGGAATCGAACCTAGGCCATTCTTACTGTGAGGCGACAGCACTACCCACTGTGCCACCGTGCCGTGATTTTGATCTAAAAATGATTAATTGTTCAGCTCTTGTTCATATGCCTTTCACAAGGTGGGCAGTCAATCTATGATCTTTCATTATTATGTCTATAGTTGCTTACTTAGTAAAATGGATATTTGGTGGAAACCCCTTGGTTCAAAAGGAGGTTTGAGTGAAAAGACGTCAATCTCACCTGTCTTTCCAATGGAGGCCACAAGGGGGGGTGTTCTCTGATGAGAGGTTCCCTGCCTTTTCTCCTCCAGTAACTGCCTGACATCCGTAACCTTCTCTGAGGTAGACTTGGTCACACCACTACCAATGCGACTCCTTACACTGCTACTGGACGAGCCTGAATCACTCCGGATGGAATTTCTGGAGAGAATGATAAGTTAAAGTTAATAAGGCATGTTTTTGTTAAAAAAAGAAAAAAAAAAAGAAGAAGAAACAACAACAACTGTCAAATAGATGAAAGAAAGAATCTGATAGATCACAATAACCATTAAATGTCAAAAGATTTCAGGAAAAAGTCTGTTAAACAATTATTCACTTACCGGAGGCTCCTGAGGTTGCTCTCAACCTCATCAGCATACATGGTCATCTTCATGCTTTTTTTAGGTGAAGGCGTCGAGATCATCTTCAGCTCTAAATCATAGTCCATTTCATCCGAATCTGAAGATGCTGATGAGGAGCCTCCTAAACGACTGCGCAGCCCCCCTTCCCCAATTCGTGACCCCCGCTCTCTGTCTCCCCGTTCTCTGTCTCCCCGATCTCTGTCTCCCCGATCTCTGTCTCCCCGATCTCTGTACTCAACGACTCTGTCATCAGCGTCCATGTCTTCCTCTCTATCCTCCTCCTCCTCCTCTTCTTCTTCTATTGGCTCTTCTGGCAGATTCACCAGATCAGCTGTTATTGGAAATAAAGATGCCACGAGTTAGTTAAAGTGATGTTACAAAAAAAAAGATCTTTCTGCATTCTGGGATTGATTAATGAGATGTCATATCAAATACCAGAAAACATGAATCTAATATTCAGCCAAACAAAATCCATCACATTTGCATGACCCTCTTCAAATATGATTTATCATACCTGAATGTCTGTGCGTGTAGGGTGGTGTGTGTCCCATACTGTCTCCAATTAATGTCTTTTTGGTCTTTAGAACATCACGCTGGATTCTTCGTGTATGATACCTACGTTTCCTGAAGAAGTGGATTATAGGAACAGAAAATGAAAAAAAATTTAATTATGAAAGGACTGCTGATTAAGCATAACTACTAATATATGTTTAGTTCAACAACAGCTTACCTACCCTAAAACTATAAAACCTAATTTCTGCACACAATACATCAATTATACTTGTGACTCTTAATTAACACTTTATTTGGAGTGGTTCTTTGTAGATGATTAATAAACTCTTAACAGATTATTAGGAACACATCAACAACATATCAGTGAAGTAGCAGTAATGCAGCATATGAATACACTGAAGTAAGTATCTTGTAGATGTTCTGCTGATTCATTACTTACATTAAGTCAATGTTACTTTCATTACACTAAACCTAACCTTACCAAAACCTAAGCCCAACCCTAACCTTAACCTCAACTCAAAACCTAATCCTTACTGCCATGTTTTTGACATGTTACTGAGAGTCCGTTGAGTGTTCATTTCATCTAAAATGGACCACTCAAAATAAAGTGTCACTGTTTCAAGATGTTCAAAAATAGTGTTCTTCCAAAAGCATAATCAACAAGTGACTAAAAAATCTTTACTAATGATCAGCACTTCAAAATTCAGTGCTGAACTAATCATAACTTCCTCTTACCAAGAATTACTGAGGATGCCTTTCATGCCTCCATAGTTAGGATTGCCATATTTCATGTAGTACCGACTCCGCCTTGCTGCACCCAACTCCTTTTTGTCATCTGTTGAAAGCACACATTAGCTACATCACCCCAGACAATGAATTCACAACTGAGCCCTGATTTAAAGCATCTGTACTAATGAGCACTTAAGTATTAAATTGTCATATCGTATTACTGTGTTTTCAGGCAAGTTAAATATTATCTATTGAAAGCCGTAGTGTCAGTTATGAAGCACCAGGCACAAAGTATAGGGCTACTGTGTTCTCTCACCCTGTGTGGCAAAGCGCAGAAACAGCTTGTTGCCTTTAAAGGATTTGGTGGTGGGCCGCAGGTCATTCCGGAGCAGTGAATCTCGCTCTGCCTGAGTGAACAGGTCTGTCTGAGGGCCAGAAAGAACATCACCCCTCATTTCCTAGCAAAAACGCTCAATGTCAGAAAAAACAGACTGAAACCTGGTCAAGTTATTATAAACGTTTATGCCAACTCTGTTGATCCTTTTACCTCAGAGCTTTCCTGTGTTTCTTTTTTCTCTGTCTCCTCCTCACTTTCACTGGCTTTTCCCTCACTGTCATCGCTGCTTTTGTTTGCTTTTTCCACCACATCATCATCATCGTCAACCTCACCTTCCTCTTCCTCATCATCAGAGCCACGGGTTCGAGCAGCTGTAAAACCAAATGGAAAATATCCATGTTCAGTAAAGCTGAAAGTCCAAACGTATGAGAATTTCCAGCCAAAAAGCTAAACCGATTCATTAGTGAAAAATTCAAAACTAAACAGGACTAACAGGACTAACCTCTCTGATTTCGGATTGGAAGGTCAGTGGTCTTTGGGCCATCAGTATTGGAGACCTCTTTGTCAGGCATTCGGCTCATGTTAATAAGAGCGCGCGTTGAAGTCACGTCATCCAACCAAACTACATTACCTAAAAACAGAACATGCATGATAATTCTCTTTGTTTTACATGGTACCTATTACATGAGTGCTTTAACTAAATGGCACTGAACTTACAGGATGTGTCGTCAATCCACTCAATGTGGGCTGGAGGATACTCCTTAAAGTAACCAAACACATCCTGGGTGCTCATGTCATCCACACCAGTAAGGTGCAAGGCCTCCAGTCGTATCTTTGGAATAGCTAAAAAGGTTAAAAAAGACTAAATTAATTTAAATCACTCAACAGGTTTTTCACCAGAACATAGAAGCAAACCACAATAATCAAGTTACTCAACTTCAGTGACATCTGAAGTTGCACTTTAATTTATTTTAAAAAAGCAAGTGAGCTTCTCCTCATTACTAACAATGGCAAACCCATACTTCATTACAGGTTGTAGGAGTGTGTGCATTAATTTCCTGCAATGAAGAACTAAGCATTAAGAGAGACCACATCTAATGATTTCGTTGCAAGGAAACATGTAAATTAGGATTAAATTAAAGAAATCTCCGTGGCATTAACCACAACCAATAACATGTTACTTTGTCACTGAAATATATCTTAAGATTCTGGACCTAAAGCTATCATCATCCTAGCTTATTTAGCAATAAAATCCATGCTGTCTTTGCCTTCTCAGTTACAACCTTAACAACATATCCTTGGCAAAGTGCCCATGTAAAAGCAAAAACCCAGACATAACAACTAACCCACAAATATGAGCAGAACTATCACGTTTTACAGTTGTTAAAAAAAAAAGATGTCTTACTGAATTGTTAGTCTGTAACGAATACCCGAAAAGTGGTTTCAATATTCAATATACTAGCACTTCGAATGGTTAACCAAGTACCTGTGCACATCCCTAACTGAAGTGCCGTGAACTTAAGGCATATTAATATGAAAATAATTTGAGTGAATAGGCTACAAATTTAGAGGTGACACATAACACACAAAATATGCTGCACTCATGACCAAGTGCAGGAAAAATTCCAATTCAACGGTCATGCAACTCATAATGCCCACCAGAAAGAGTTACTTAAGATCTCAGACATTTCATGAAACAAGAAATAATTGTGTATGATTAGTTTTTAAAAAACAGACCTTTGAGTTAGCATTAGAACAAACAGTGCTTCATCATAAGACCTAAAGAAACACAAATGCTGTTCAATTTTACTTCAGCTCAAGTGGACTGCTTACCTTTTTTCATCAGCTCTCTGTCCAGAACCACATTTCTCTGAGTAAGATTGTCCTCTGCGCGGAAATGAAATCGCCTTGCTCTCTTCTCCTTTTTCTCAATCGCCTCCTGAATAAATGTGCATCAGAACATGACTCACAAACAAAACTAAGGCAACTAACATTTGGCTACAGAAACAACAGAGACTTACCTTGGACGTTACATCAATCCCAGTAATAAAGGCGCCAGCCTTGTTTTCATATCGTCGGCTTGTATCCTGAAGAAAAGACAGTACAGACACTAAAGTAGGCAGCTGTAGTAACCACTTAACTATGTAAGCATATCTATGTTACATATCTTAACACATTTAATTCAGTATGTACAATTACAGGCTGAACAATAACGGATTTAGCAACCGTGAACCTAAATATATGCGGCATATACGCATGAGAGACTTGCAAGTATCAAGTGTTGACAGTTCACTGAATAAATAGGTTAAGATTTTAACGATTCAACCAGTTAAAATGGTGTCTCGACCATCGACCACCTGTCTCCTTAGCCGTGGTCCCACCGGAGATAACTTGGGTTACCTTTGCTGAAGGACATGTGTTCGGTTATTGCGTTCATTAAAGAAGAAAGAAGAGTTAAGGCAAAATCACTCTAACGTTAGCTGGCTAGCTACCTAGCTAACGTTAGATGCTGGCAGCGACAGACTTTTATTTCTCACACTACACCACAGCGTTTCTCTGCGTTTTTGGCTCAAATTCTGGAGTGCCATGTTACTTAAATCAGTGAAACGGAAACATTTTATCGTAATGAAAGAGGGAAATACTTGTGAAGGTACATTAAAGACTACTATACAGCAACAGTCTAAATCTCTGGCTAGTTGTGCCAAATCTCTCAAGAAACCGAGGAAGAGAATTTAGCAAGCAGCCAGGAGGTAACGTTAATAGTTACATGTAAGGTCAGACACAGACAGCGCCAAACAGGTCATTACTGGACAGTACTAGACAGTATTGAGCAAAGTACCACCAATAAAAAGCGAATGAACGTTTCCTTTTGTAGTTTTCTTTAAACAAATAATTTTGCGCTATTACCCAACTCTCTGAATCAACAATTAAAACACAGCTAGCTAGCTACCTGGCTAATGCTAATGCTACGTCTGGCTGCGGCTCCCAGCTATCATAAGCTAGCAAGATTGCTATTGGTTAGGTAATGTTAGCTTATGTTAGCACTAGCAACATAACTAAGGGCCGGAGCTTCACAATTCGTGATCATTAACGTTAATATTATGTTACAGTCAGCACTAAACGTGATAAACGCCTTGGTCCCAAATGTAAATGTATTGTTTTTACGGTAACACTGTCAATACGCAACGCATCAGACACAGCATTTTACAGTAGATGTGCTAATGTAAGGTTGGCTGACGCAGCGCCTCCATGCACTGTAGCGGCCGAGCTGCGACCTCCAGTCGGCTTGTTCAGCAGGACACAACCGCGGACTGAGCGAGGTAGTTGCAGCTAAACTTACCGGCAGCAGTTCTTTCAAACTTCGGCGAACGGGAATAGACTCAAACTCCAGCTCTCCCTCCTCCACCTCCATCGGCTCCGCTTCTCTGGCATTTCGATCGGAGTCCGAGTCGGAATCCGAGTCCGAGCGGTCAGAGGCGCTTTCAGGTTTCACAGACACCCGCAAACTGCGAACAGCCGCCATGATATCCAGCTAACAACAGGAGCCCACTGCTAAAGTCTCCCTCGCATTGAACAATGTGGAGTGAAAACCAGCTAACAGTGCTAGCTAAGGCGGAGCACGCTAGCGAGCTTCCTAGCCAACTAGCATTGGGCTGAAGCAGCCAGACAGACGAGGACACCACTTGTTAGAGGGTAACATTACAACCCGCCCTCTTCAAATGAGTGGATCTTTAAAAATGACTTATTCTCCATCAGAGATGAGTAGAGTAGCCTACATATCCTAAAACCACACCCAGGTATTTTTAACGTTGTTCGGTGGAATAATGACTTAGAAGAAGTGAAAGTAGTTACCAAAACAGCTTGAGCAGGAGTAAAAGTATTGGGTCAAACTCATCCAGCATCTGACAGCATAGGAACTGTGTGTTAGGTGCTTTTCTTCTGGTACGTTTGGTCTAAAGTGAAAGGCTAAAGCTTGAAAGTGATGAGTATGAGCAACAGGTACTGTCACCACCAGAACATACATAAATCAATGTTACTATCATTTCCATACATAAGAACCTATCAGCAGATTAACATATTGACGTATTATGGATGGTAGTAATCTACACCAGGGGTTCTCATCCTTTTTCACCCCAAGGCCCATCTGCTTATAACTATAAAGCATAGCGACCCACAGAAAAACTAAAATAGTTTTTTTTAATAGTTTGCTTTTTTTTTCTTAATTGCTTACTCTGAAAACCTGTGAATTATGGCCTGAAAAAGATCAGATCGTCCATTTCACATCAATCACAAACCAACCCCAGATAGCAAAGTAACGTTGAATCAACGTTGATATCGCGTCATTTTCGTCTTTTTTGGTTGATGACCAAAAATCAGCTACACATCAACGTTGCCATAGGTTGAATCCTTAAACCTTGTTTCAACGTTGAAAGCAAGACGTTGAATCAATGTTGAATTGTAGTTACTGTCTTCAACCATACTATCTCTGCTAGCAAATAGGCTGTTTTGCTGAGTGTTGAAACTGACGGCTGACTGAGACTCGCGCAAAAACAGCATCTGACCCATGTATGGCAAAGCTCTATGAGACCTGCTTAAAAAAGGTATTGTTTTCAGTGACGTAGGCATTTCTCTGTGGGCTTGGTATGTATACCATGGTATATGAACAATATGTGCTTCTAATTGCTTGGCTCTACTAAGGTTTTTTGGGTTTTTTGATGGTGCAATATGTATTTCTAAATGTAAATTATGTTGCATATAGTGTTTTCTGACCAAAAACCAAGATGTATTCCTTATGCATGCTAATTTATAAGCATATATTTAAAACAATCAAGCAAGTTTTACTTTGTAAGAATTCTTGAAATAAGCAAAAAAAAAGCAACATTGCTTTCATCTTTTATCAACTTCATAGCACATGTGAATACACTACCTTTGTTAAAAAGGCCGCTTTTAAGAATCATAAAAAACAACTGAATCCCCTGAATTCAGTATTGCCAAATACCATCTCAAAACCATCTCAAAATCCCTGAAATAAAACAATGTAACATGGGGCTACTTCTTTAAACAAATAAAAAAAGTTGACTATAGACACAACATTGTAACAATTTAATCATTGACTTTCTGTACTTATTTTGTGCCATAAATTACTTAAATAAGATAAAAATCCTTAGTGAGAGTTTCAGCGAAGAAAAGATTATTTCAGACCAGTAAAACACGTAATGGGCGGAGCTGTCCGGCCTGACTCCGCCCCCTTGTAGCGCGAGTCTCGACGTGACCGTTAAGCCAAACGCGACCGTTTCGAGCTCTGTATATTCAAATCATACTCACCAAATGAACGATACCTGTTTAACTACCATTTTTATTAAGCTGGTGCAGTAAAACCTCTTCACAACATTCGCTTATGCTCATTACTAAGATGACTGATGCGTGATGACAGAAACTGCAGCTCCAAAACACCGAAGACTCTTCTCACCGAGCGCCAACGCGTATGCGTTACTGGATCAAGTGGAATGAGGACGAACTCACTTCTTCTGCTTGTGGTTTAAAACCACGGTCACAACTGAATTTCAGCTTACATACTCTTAGCTGTGTCTGTCAGCTGACACTACCTTTTGGGTAAGTTAGTTAACGCTAGCATAATCTTAGTTTAGCGAAAGCTAGCTCGCCTGCCTGTAACCCTTGATGTTGCTTAGCAACCCCACAGCGCGGCTACGGCATTTAGGAAGAGCCGGAATCACTCAGAGCTGATGTGGAGCTACAGCTGAGTAAGCTAACAGCTGGCTACGTTTGTGTAGGTAGCAGAAGGCAGATAAAACATTTAGGAAGGTAAATCAAAGAAACATCCCTCACACAGAGAATTAGGATAGTAAATTAAAGTGTCTGATGTATAACTTTATGCTAGTTTAGTCTGCACTACACTGACATTTTAGGAGTTTGGCTTAAAGTACTAAGTTAAGTCACTTTGTGGTAAAACTATTATCAGTATGGTTTGCTGCAGTATATTAAAATGCTTAATGTCTGCATTTTATTTCACAGAGCTTTGGAAATCACCAGCAGAATGACTGGTAAGACTGAAATGACGTTTTGACTAATATGGACCTAACAGTCAAGCTGATTATTATAAAAATGTGTGACAGTGCCTTAGAAATACAGCACCTTCATAAAATTTTAAAGCTACTTTCGTTATTCTAACACTTTGTTGTGTTACAGCCTTAAAATAAAACTGATTACAGTCGAGGGGCAGGAATCTCTTGGCACAATGTGATATGATTTGGTTTGATTGGATTTCAATTTAAAATAATGCCAAGATGCAATTATAAAACCATTCTCGTTCCCTGTTGCTACATGTTGATGTGTCTTCATTTTTATTTCTAAAGTCTATGATTTTTAATCATTATCATTAACATGGTTTGATCCAGCTTATTTTTTGGCTTCTGTATTTTTAACATCAGCTGGTTTAATTAAATTGTTTTATGAAAATCATTTTTTTATTTTTCTATTTTACCTTGTTTTACTTTGTTCTTTAGTTGATGTGCACAAAAGCAACTTGTGTGCTAGAGAAACCTTAGACTGCTACATGGGCTCTGCTTGAGTAAATGAGTAAGTCGATATGCTTAAATGACATAAAAAAATGTTTTCCATTGTTATAGCAGAGTTGCTTTGGAGTTCTGCTACAGATGACTGTAGTAAACCAGCAACTACCAGTACCATTAATTGATTCCAGCACCGTTAATTGATTCACAAAGGGTTGAGATTTTACCTGGAAAGCATTTTTTTTTCAGACCCCTTAAAATCCGAACACTGACTCAAACAAACATATATCCAGAGATTTTTATCGCTAATAACACCAGAGAATTTTGAGAAATGTTGTACATGTTTGCAACTTCATCATTGTTTACAAGCTTTGAAAGGGTCTCTTTCAAGTAAATACGTACTTTATTCAAAACATACTTATTTATATTGATTTCTTAACACAATTGGAAGTGTACAGTAGTAGTATTATTGTTAGTAGTAGTAATGATAATAATAATAATAATAATAATAATAATAATAGAAGGATGTGATTATACTTAAGTAGCACATAGATTATATTCACATAACACTGAGTGAAAAATGTTTGTTTTTTGTACAGATTAACTCTGCTGAAGGGGTACCGTTTCACTAAAGCAGGAAAGAATCAATGGAGATGGAGTCTGAGGTTTAAAGAAAATGACCAACAGGTGCTTGATGGGCAGAAGCTATCCCACCACAAGTGAGTGTATGTATATATATATATATATATATATATATATATATATATATATACATATATATATACATATATATATACACACACAGTCTGCGTTATTTGGTACACCTACCTACACTCAGGCTACACTCACTGTCAATTTTTTAGGTCCACTTACCAAACAGGAGCACTTTGTACATCAGATTGTAGTCCATCTGTTTCTCTGCATACTGTATTAGTTTCCTTTTACCCTGATATTCAGTGGTCAGGACCCCCACAGGACCACCACAAAGCAGGTATTATTTGGGTGGTAGATGATTCTCTGCACTGCAGTGACACTAACGTGGCGGTGACATGGTAGTGGAATGTTATTGCGTGTTATGTGTGCTGCACTAAGTGGATCACACACAACAGCTTTTTTAACTATTCAGAGTCACTGCTGGCTGAGAACAGTTGGCCAACCAAATATGTCCACTGTTTTGTGTCCAGAAACTGACCACTGATTAGATCAAGAGGAAAACTAATGCAAACTGTGCAGCAACAGATGAGCTGTAGTCTACTACTTTACATGTACAAGGTGGAACGACAAGGTAGTTGTGTCTAAAGCAGCAGACAGTGGAAGAGGAGCTAACAAAGTATGCAGAGAAACAGATGGACTACAGTCTGTAATTGTAGAACTACAAAGTGCACCTGTATGGTAAGTGAAGCTGATACAGTGGACAGGGGTTTTACCTAATAAAGTGGCCACACACACACACACACACACACACACACATAGTTGTATGCAAACATTGGGTTAATTTTCTGAGTGAAAATAAGTTCATATTTTTATGCACAAATACTGTGTATTTACTAAATTTAACATAAGATAAAAAAAACAAAATGTGGCCCATGCAAATGTCATAGTGTGGTAAGCGTGGTCAATTTGTGGTGTTGTGGTCAATAAGTGGTCTGGAGGCTCCCCATTCAACACTCTTGGACATCAGAACTCAATTCCACAGTGCTCTGAAGTTTATTGTGGTTTTTGCACACAAAAGTATTTACACTCGCGAGAGAAAAATGAAAAGAAAACAAAACTGTAGCCAAATGACTCCACGGACTCCGCAGTCAGCATCCGGCAGCCATTTGCCTCACACAGAACTAAAGCGATTCTGTTGCATTGGGTCTGAGGCTGCGAAGCCACACAGACCTTCCCCAAACATACTTCAACTCCTCCATTGTCCCCCTTCCCTTTTAACCTGGTAGCTCCGCGCACATTAACTCTGGGTCATACCATTATCCACAGTCTAGGGCTGACAATAGAACAGACAATACACACATAAATCACCTATATACATACATACAATGGCCATTTACTTCATATATACACGTGCACATTTATCTTAGAAATGATTGCTAAACTAGCTATATTTAACATTATATTTTCTTCTTTACAGGTACCAGCGACCTGGCTCCCACCTCGCCTGGGTCCCCCTGGACCTCAGGTAAGTATAAGTTTAAATTAATACAAAATCAAAAAATGTCAAAAAATGCCTGTCAAAATAAAAGTCACCATAGTATTTATTGAGGAAAGGTGAATTGTAGTCCTGGTGATGTGTTAGGGTAACCTAACATCATCACACATAGCACATTTTATATTTTGTGTTTTATTTTTTCCAACATGTTAAACATGTTAAACAGGGATATTCAAACCTTTTGTACACACAGCCCTATGTTGATAATATTATGTTAGTAATATTATACCGAGTGAAAAATGTTTGTTTCTTGTACAGATAGGGGGGAAACAGTACCTTTTCAGTGGAACAGAGGAGAATCAATTGAGATAGAGTTCTTGTCCAAAAGCTAATTCTGAGGTTTACAGCAAAACAGCCAACAGGAGCTTGGAGGGAAAAAGCAGTCCCACAACAAAAGCCCAGCTCAAGACCCCCTAGAGACCAGAGAAGTTTGGAGCTTTAAAAGGTACGCTCTCTGTCTCACACACACACATTGCCATTCGCCTACAATACAGGTTCCAAACCCTGGTCCTGGAGAACCCTTACGCTGCACATTTTAGTGTAATATATATGCCCATTTTGAATTCAACACGAGTCAAAAAAGTTCTGACAGGGGCAACAAGAAGACTGGTAAATTTGTGTAATGCTAAAAAAAACCACAGTGGAACATCTCACAAGTAAAAAAGAGCGTCTCAGAGGCTGAGTCCTCAGAAGTAGAGAGGGGTAGGTGGTTCACCACTCTGTGAAAAACTGCACAATCAAATAGTGCAACCATTCAAGTACAAAAAGTTTCTCAATGTAATACAGCAAAAAACTTGGAGATTTTATCATCTAGGGGACATAACATCATTAAAAGATTCAGAGAATCCAGAGAAATCTCTGTATGCAATATTGGATGGCTGTGATCTACAGGCCCTCAGGCAGCGTTGAAACGGAGTTGATCCAGCATCTAGTTTCAACGGATTTTCAACGTTGATTCAACGTGGAACAGTATGTGCACTTTTCCGTTGAATCAACGTTAAAAATCAACGTTGATTCAACAGTTCTGCGTTGAACTGGACAACTGTGAATCACCTTTGATTCAACGTTACTTTGCTATCTGGGACATTTGCAGTTATGTTTAAAAAAAAAACGTTTGCAGAGATGTATGTCAAAAAGGGGAAAAAGAAAAAAAGGTAGATGTAGATGTGGACTGTGATTTGGAGCTGCAGTCCATTGCGATTTCACTGAAAATACTCTCGTGTCTTTCCCACAGGAGTCACTATTTAGTCTGGAGTCTCTTTAGTTTTGATGGTTTTAGCGCCTCATTTGAAATAAACCTCACTCCACTCACACTTTTGCATCTTTGTCATTGGTTTATCAAGTTGAGTTTAACTACTCAAGTCGCTGATGCTCAGTTAGAAATCAAACGCAGATCTACGATATTATTTTATGGCTCGTCTATCGTTTTTATCAGCAGGAACAATATAAAACTTGTTCCCTCGTTTCATCATAAAACGCGTTCCCACCAGCAGTGAACTAAATAGGGTTAGGTTGGAAGCAGTTTCAGCTGTTTGTTTCAGACCCGAATACAGGCGGAGTGTTCACACACGTCAAAACGGAGCGAACTAAAGAACCGAACAAGGGAGGAGAAACACAATGAGGAACCTATCCGTCTCTGGCTAACCGGGCGAGATTGTCGTCGCTGCAGAACCAAAAGTCCAGGGGGCACGGCTGGATCTGATCCAACTCCTCCCTCGTAGTGTTTTAATTGGTCTGAACTAGATCCGACTCCACTCCGCCCCGCTACACTCGCCCGTCAGGTTCAAGTAAAACGTAATCAAGTGCGAGTGTGAAAGTAAGTACATAACACACATTTTTTCGTGTTTTGAACTAGAACTCGTCTATCATAAGTACACTTGAGATGTAGACCTACAGAGCGGACGTTGTACCGGAATGTGAAAAAAGCTTTTCGGGCGGCTGCATTCTCTGCAATTGATGACGTCTAATTAGCCTGCGACTGCGGTGTTTTTGTTTATACGTCTCTGCCGGACTACTACGACCTCCTGCCTCCCCCCACGAGTTCAGACCCACGGCCCACTGGTGTTCCGCGGCCCACAAGTTGAGAAACCCTGATCTATACAAGTGTTAAAATTACACCCAAATGAACGTGTCTGCAAAACTGGACTAAATTCTTACATTTTTTATGAAAAGATAAAAATCAAAACATATGCAAAATACAATTTTATTCAGGAAAATCAGCAGTCATAAAGATACATCTAAACATGTAGCAGAACAATCATTGTGAAATAAATTAATACATCTGAGGAATTATTCAGAGTACAAGAAACCAAAATCTTCTCAATACAACTTTCTCATAGAATTGAAGGACATTCATTCTCTCTAAAACAATGTCACATGTTAGAGCTGTTTATCAGTATGTGTGATTTAATTTCTGTTTGGCCATATTCAGATCCCATAATCTTGCTTAAATTAATGTACACAATAAATATACATATCAGTGACTTAATCAAACATTTATACAGCAATGTCAGTCATGGAATTAAGTTGAAACGGTGGATACTTCAAGTTAACAATATTATACAGTACAGCCAATAAAAATGCAAGTGATATTTAAACCACTGCTGTGTCGCACTGCATTAGCAGAATGGTTGAGAAGATGCAGTCATATCCATTTTACGGTTGATGTCAAGGGTTGTACAACTTTTGGAATGTGTGCAGATGTAGGTAGGCGTACAAATAAGTTATTTCAGGTAAGAATGACAAACATGACGGTTTCATCAGACTTTCTCAAATCATAGTGCCATTTTTCCAAACAAGTGCTTTCTAATAACTTCTATGTTTATATGGTATCAGTTGTTAAAAAGGAACTATTCAGAAAGCTATGATTCAGTGCTTTGTTGTGCCATGTCTGCATTTGTCTAGATATAAACAATTACTGTGCTCAAAGACAGCCTTTGTAAAACTAGAATAAATACCAGGTGTGGACATCTTGTTGCCTATAGTAGTCTCAACTTCATTGGTCTTCCACAAGAACATCTGGATGCAGTACCATTTCAATGAGTACACTCAGTGAAGTTAATCTCTTTGGAGCCACTGTGTAAACACTGGAAAAGGTCAACTAATTGCATTAAATTCCACATTGCTGTAGTTTTATGGGTTGATAGAGGAAAGTAACTGACATGAATTCTCCAAAATGGGACATTTCGTTGGTTTTATGTGTTCAGAAAATATCCATTTCCTGTGAATAAAACCTATATCTCTTGTAACTTGAATAAAAAAAAAGAATTCTTTGATATATACTGACTGGGTCATTAAAGGGAACACTGACTGTTAAGACATATGCCTTAAAATAGTGCACATGTCTAATATTACTAAAATATAATGTATAAATCAAATGGAAATGAGGACAGGCTCAATCCATCAGTCCTATGGAAAATATGACAATCAAATGTTTTTCTCTTGGGTTATGTCACAGTCCAGCTAAAGTCGGAAAGGCTGAATATCTGAGTTTGGTTTGATGTACTTGATATTAAGGCTTACATGCCTTAACGCCTTATTTCTACTGCCTAAGACATACATTAAACTAAATAATGTGCTATAATGTACTTCATCTCGTTTCTTCGGACTGCATGCCCTTTACCAAGCATAGAAATAGATATAAGGAAAAATCACATAATTTTCTCATCTCATTCCCCTGAATTGGCAGAGGCAGTTTCTCGCTGGCTTGCCCGCCCCAAGCATAAAATGTGACAAATGTGCACAATCTGAACAATGGCTGCAGATGAATGAGTAGATGGGGGGAATGTTTTGTGCTTTTGAATAAAACATATATTGCTTTTATCCTAATTTGCATGACCATCACTGTCCACTGTCAACAAAATATATCTATTGCTATCAAAAGCTCTAACATCATCCTTGTAGGAACTTATCAAAAGCCTTTTTTGTGTAAGAGAAAGGCATAGGCAAAATGTTCCACATAAGCAGGATCTGTAGTGGGGCAACGTTCAAAATTTTAAGCATGGTGTATAATTTGTGTATATAAAGTGTGTGCAACCAACAACAAACGCTGCCTCAGAGACAGCTCAAGCTTTAGAAATATTTTTATGTCCAGTGGCCTCCTCAGTGTGTTATGGTCCCATTCCACAGCCAGTGTCTGGTGTGACTTCACACAGTGCTCCTGGTCTCTCTTCTCTGTCCTTTCATTACTGCCCCTGCCAATCACAGCAACACAGTCATAGGCTGATAATATATTGACAGTCATGAGAAGTTACTCAACTTTTTAGGTTGTTAGAACTAGACTCTGCAGAATTGTTTACTCCAGGATCAGGGTTGGTGACCACTGCTATATATGGTCTCTGATTACGACACTCCAACTAGGTAACATTTGTTTCTCTCACTGATATTTTAATCAGTATTTTTATGTGATATCCAACATTCTTTTAAGGATTGTGCATATTTTTAATTATATTGGTCTAGAAGATTTACAGAATTGCAGTGATGCAATTTTATAACCATCATGATTAAAGTACTGTTTGGACAGGATTAGTTTTATAAGGGGAGAAGGGATAATGTAATCATTACTAGTGTTTCTCAGTGATTTTAGTCCCATCCACATCCAACATTTCAATCATTTTTACAGAGTGTATGGTCCCGGATCAGGAAAGGTTCCGGCAGCTTTTACCTACTATAAAATGAATCACAGAAATGACCTCAGGTTATATTATTGCCGTGTTGCCACAGTGATAAATATTCCATTATATCCTGTGGAAAAGGAGTTTTTGCATTTTTTACAGTATATCACTCAAAGATGCCTTTACTTCCATTATTTGTTTCAGGAATCAAGCTAATATTTTTTGTTCTACCTCAAGTGTTCTACCTTACTAAACATTAAAAAGTAACGTCAGAAATAAAGTTCGATTTTATGCGGTTATTTTCACTGTTGGATAAAAATGTTCGAAGTTAATGGTAGTGCTAATGACACATTCACTTAACACAGCTAGGTAGATGGTTAAGATAAATAATATGAAATGTTTGGATGTGGTTTCAGCTAATGAGAACTTTTTCGGTATGACAACATCATATGTATGTGTAAATCAAGTAGCCACTCTCATCTTAGTAATTTATTTCTTATGCCACACTAATTAGTCATATGTTACAGATGTCCTGTTGTAAAATTACATTACCACACCTTCCCCTGTAAAACTAACCCTGTCCGAATAGTACTTAAGAAACAGTACCGAAGGTGGATGACTCATGCCTGGCCAAAATACATTCTGTTTAATAAAGTCAGAATTGTTTATTAAGGTGCTGATACCAATCCAGTATAATGAATGAGTGCATCACTAGTTTCATCCCTTATTAGGGTTCCCACTCTTTTTTTAGGAAACAATTTTCCAGGCCTTTTTTATTAGGACAAATTTTAGGTCAATTTCCTTGGCTTACATTCACAACAACTCTTGCTTGTGAATCTTAAAATGATGCACAACTTCTGATATCTTCGACAGTAGAGTAAACAATACTGCCCTTATTCATATCCTTATTAACAGAGTGATATACTGAAACACCTTTACATTCACACAAACCATTCATCAACCACTCATTATACGATCACAAGTTCTTCTAAAATATTAGAACTGAGCTTTACATGCTGCAAGAAGCTGGTGTGTTAATGTAGCCTCACTCTACTAGATGTTCTGAAACAGCGTCCAGGTTTCTGTCCATATGTGATATTATGGCATTCCAAAGTACAACAGGTATGAATGGACACTCAAACTGAGCATTAGTAGCTACAAAATTGATGACATTGCTTGACATTGCTTGAAATCTCTTATTTTCCAGGTGTTTTCCTTGACTGGAAAGCTTGTCTATACATTGCTGTGTCTTTCAGGACATATGGGAACACTGCTTCCATTCACTTAAAGGAGGAAAACTGCTGGCCATCAAGGCTCAAAGAGGACCTACACTACTGACAAACACTCCAGCTGTCCATTTAGTCTGTGTGTATCAGTGAACACTGCAAAAATGATCAAGCAGTTCTTTTTGACTGTCAGTGTAAATAGACACATTCACAGGAACGCACACACTCACAAACACACACACGACAGACTCAGGAAATAATATCTTACAGCCGTGTTGCTCAGCTTGTCGAAGCGGAACTTCAGATTGGATCTGGGGGAATTCCTATTCTTGAATTCTTTTGGATGTGAGAGAGAAAAGATTTGATTGTTTAAATAATGTCATCTCATATCAAGGAAACTACATGCTGTGAGTAAACAACAGGGAAGAAACAAAGTACACTGATCACATTCTACACTGTTTTGACAGTGTATGAATAGAAAATACATTCAAAGTAAAAAACCTTTTATATGGGCAATTAATTACCTGTTGGACTGCGGCACATAATAACAGGAGTTCCTACATTCTGACCGTCCACACTCAGAGAGGGACCACATACAGGTGAGAACGTTGGAGAAACTTGGAGATTGTTCTAAAGATAAAAAGAAAAATGACACTTTGCTTTTAAATTCTTCTCTTAAAACGTTTAAAAAAAAAAACAGCGATGTCTGTTCTGCCACTGCTACTCTTCCATGAACTTCAAGTTCAACTGTTGGAACATGCTTATATTTACACTGCATTGCATGTCACAGCTGGATGTTGAGTTTCGATTCCTGAGTTTCGAACATCAAAAAGCTGATGTAAACTCTTCTCACACACCCACGCACACACTCACAGGGTCTCCTTCCTCTAGTGTGTCTGTGTCTCCAGCAGCGCTGCTGAAGCTACTGGTGCTGGAGGACGAGCGGGAAATAACTGGCCTTCCACTGCACTCCTTCAGTTTCAGAGATGGCCTAGAGTGAGAGATATAAAAGAGAGACAGTAAAAATATTCTTAAAAGAAGTATTAAACTATTAAAACATAAATAAATAATTCTAACAAACTTGCTGAACATTAGAGTTGAAAACATGACAACCGACTTGGACTTAAATCCTCTTACTTTGAATGACTCTGTACCTTAATTATGTTTGTTTTATTAAAACAAATGACAGGACTTTCAATTTTGTTACTAACAAAACAATCATAACACTACTGAAATTTTACCAAATGTTTCAGTAGTGAGTGTTTCGGTAGTGACAGTTGTTGCTAATTCTGAGTGTAATTAAAAATGTTAGCCTGTACTAGCAAACACATATTTGAGCAAATCGTAATATTCTTATCAAAACACAAAAAAGTTTTCTTAATCATGTTTTCGTAAATGTATGTTTCAGTAGTGACAGTTCTTACTGGTACACACTGATTTTCAGACTTTGAGACACATTTATTTCTAAGCAATGAGATCTAACTGCTCACCATGTGGCCATGAGGGACAGGGATGCAGTCTTACTTCCTGCTCTAAAAAGCAGGGATATGGCTAAAATAAGGCTCCATCTATAGACTAAGACTCTTTGTGTTACGGTAGCGACATGAATGTGTGGGGCAGCATTTTTTGAATAATGTTTTCTTATTTAAAAATTAAACTCATGATGAATCTAAATATTTCAATGTCACTTTAAAATCAGAAAGATCTTAAAAAAATACGAAATCATAAAAATTATATAACAAATGTAAGTATTACTTTCACGAGTTGAAATTTAGAGTTTAGGGTTTGGATCAGTCTCCTTCCATTAGAAAATACCTTGTAAATGATAATTTTGTATATAATTAGACTATTACTATTTGAATCCAGCATTCAAACACCTGCGCTCTGGAAGCTAACAGAGATGAAATTATGTGATATATAATCTATAAATACAGCACATAAACAAAGAAGACAAGTCTACCATAAATAATACATGCTTTTAGAAATCTAGGACAGGAATGCATGTGAGAGAGTGTGTGACAGTACCTGTCTTTACTCAGGCAGATCTCTGGAGAGCTCGGGTTTGAGGATGTCTCTGACCTCACCTCCTGCGAGAGATGACCGCTGTCCAGACTCCTCTGATCACACAGCACACTAGAGTAATGTGAAAACAACAGAGCAAGTGACTCAGCAGTTTTCTTTCCCACAATGTAAGTAAAAAGCAGTTTGTGTACATCCATTTGTCAGTGTTTTATGTTGGACAAAGGATGAGAAACACAATTCATTTACTGCGTTCTACACTACCTTGACAGTGTATGATTAGAACATATATATTTAGAGTGTATTTTGAAAAGCTTTTAGAAAATCCTTCAGTGAGCAGACAGTGAAGTGCATTCAGTTTGAAGTAAGTTTCTAGTGAGTGAAGTGAGTCTGACCTTCGTGTTGAGCGATCGGACTGCCCATCCATGCTGGTGTGAAGTCGGGGGAAAAGACCAGAGCGTCTTTTCACTGGACTCTTCAGAGGAGATTTAGTGGTAGATGATACGGGGGACTAGAGGACAAAAAACCATGAAATGCAGAGGCAAATGCCAACCTATTCAACGTCAACAAACAAGGCAATATGTACATTAAAGCATCAGAGAAATCACAGTTACCAGTATAAAACTGTATAATCCCAACAGTAAACAGTTGTAGTGGTGCTAACAATTTCATACTTATTTAAATTCTAGTTGCTTTTTGGTATTATAAAAGTCAATTTATGTAAAATCTAATTTATTATTATATTATATATTATATATTTTTTTAACAGTGCAAAGCTAAGGCCATGTTCACAACGACATTTTGGTATCTGTAAAAATCACCCCTCGTCAATGATTTCAATGAGAACTATGCATTGATGGGCAACAGACAGCAACTGTAAAACATAATTTCACAAATTTAATTTGTTTTGGTTCATTCTACTGTTAAACTTGATCATGCAAATCTTGTAACGCTACCTATTTCTAGTATAATGTCTTAGTTACTTAGGTAGATCAAGTTAAGATCGATTCACCTGAAGAGTCTTTTGCCCAAAAAACCTCCCAGCATTCTTAGCAGTTTTGTTGGTTTCTATTAATTAAAGGAGCAACATGTATTACTGACAGCAAGTGTTTTAAATGGGTACTGCACTTCCAATTCAAAACACTGGAGAGAGTTGCCTTCCCCTGCCTCCTCCTCCCCATACTTGAAGCTCATGCAGGTTACCAGGTTGAGTCAGCTTCTTATTCGCCAGCTTTTTGTTCAAATTTGCCTGTTTCCACCTTAATGGTGGTGCAGTCACATTCTGGCACCTCAGCCTATTCGCCAGATTCTTGGTTGAACTTCCCCATTCCTTATTTTCCAGGGGAATAATTCTCACATTTTTGAGTTGGGCTCCAGTTTGTTTCCTTGCTTTCTTGGCTGCAGCATGCTGTGTCTGCCTGCCAATTTGTTTTATATCTGGCAACCTGGGGTTTCGAAATGGTAGTGGGAAATGGCCAGTGGGCCAGATCACAGGTCAAAACACAAACAGACGAAATGGAATGGAAATTTCAAAGAAGAATATACAGGCTGTAGCACTGTTGTCAGTGAAGCCAGTATTTTAACTCAGCACGTTATCTTAATTTCTGATGATTTATCACAGTCATTTTATGATTTAGTACAGTAAATATATTTCATATTGTTCCTTTAACTCTTTATTTTTCATTAGCTCTCTTCACATAATGTTTTTTTTGTGTCTTAGCACATTCATATGCTAAGAATGTGCTATGAAAGAACTACAGTTGATATTAAAGCACTGCACACAGATAAACCATTGCAGCACATTACAATTAAATGAGAGGTTAATCTAACTATACTGTTTCAAGTTAACATAACTAAATCAAGAGTAAACAGAACTATAAAAATTCCATACTGTCAGCTCAACCTTTAAATTTATTGGGCCTTTTGAGTTGAACTTGCTGAAGATGTGTGGATCACTGAAGAATATAAAGTATGTATAACTAAAACATAAAGTTGGTTAAGCTTGTGAACATGTTAAGTAAAATGTTTGCCTGATTTTTTAAAGTAAAGTCCATCCATCCATTCATCTCCCTAAGCCGCTTATCCTTCACGGAGAGTGCTGGAGCCTATCCCAGTGTTCATCAGGCCGAAGGCCGGAAACACCCTGGCCAAGTCGCCAATCCATTGCAGGGCAGACAAACAGACATATACGTTCACACACACTCACACCTAGGGGCAATTTAGCATCTCCAATTCACCTGACTGCATGTCTTTGGACTGTGGGAGGAGACCGGAGCACCCGGAGGAAAGGCACGCAGACACTGGGAGAACATGCAACTCTACACAGGACCCTGGTCGCCTGGCCAGGGAATCGAAACCCAGGCCCTTCTTGCTGTGGGGCGACAGCACTTTTTTGTTAAAATAAATTTCACCAGAATTAAACATTTAACGGAACAACTCTAATGTAATCATGCGTCAGCCAATAGGAGAAGATTTGGGGTGGGGCTTCAGCCAGTCATGTTAATACTGAGCATGATGGAGGAGAAACTAATCACTGCCTAGCTGACATTCAGAGCTCTACAAACCAACTTTAAAGATCTATTAGGACCATGACAGTATTATAGGACCTGGAGAGAGTCATTAACATTAGAACCTATACATGTCAATTGGATTAGCACAGCAGCGCATATATCACCAGAACTATGTGTCTTGGATACCAACATCTTTGTTCATGGACATCTTTTCCAGCATCAAAATGATGAAATAATGAAAAATAATCAAACTGCTTTTTGATGTTTAAGTGCCCTAAAACAAATAAATAGGGCCTGAAACATTGAAAAAAAATCAGAAAAAGAACGTAAAATTTGAATGCAAGTCTGTGGCAAAACATACTTTTTGGCACCAGGCATGATGTATACCATTTGGTCAATAAGCCAGGCACACTCAACCAGCCAAACCCTGTACCCCTGATCAGAACAACTCACAAAGAGCCTTGTCTTTTTCACTTCCTTCTGTAAAGAAAAACAGCAGCCTTCAACAGTTTTCATTTATGCGCATCTGATTACCATTTACCTGGAAAAACGTTGATCTCTGCCCACACACTTACAACAAACAGTGTGTATCAATGCATTTTTGATGGATACCAAGATGTCTCTGTGAATCCAAAAACCTTCATAGTTTTGGTCACTGATTCTCTAAATATCCAGCATTTTCATACTGTTCTATCCCTAAAAGCATGTACTACTATTGTCATCACCCCGTGTGTATAATTGTGCTGCGATCTTTGGCATGTGGTGCTCACCGAGTTTTTATTGCACTCAGCACTGCTATGGGTGAGGCCCGCTCCACTTAGACTGGTGGGCACTCCTCCTCCCCCTGCGGAGGAGCGGCTGTGTTTTTGAGAGCCCACCATCGTGTCCATGGAGTGACTGCGCACACGCATTGCCCGCTGAGAGAGTGACAGAGGGAAAAGGGAGGAAACCTCTGTCACTTTTCTTTCAGAACTGCAGATTTGTCAAGTAAAAAAAACAGCAGAGAATAACTGAAGCTTATAGTTTTTCTGGCTAAGCCTGACAGAGCATGATGGCTATTTTAACTTAAAGACCTGTTGGAAGGTCCAGACTTTCATTTCTCTCCTTCATACAAAATCTGCACAGTAGTTTCATGGTATTGAATGATTAATAGTGGTAACAGAATAATTTATGATAGATACTGAATAATTAAATTGTAACTAAATAATTTATAGTAGTAACTAGACAATTCATAGCAGTTATAGAATCATTTAAAGTAGTTACTAAATAATTCATAGTAGTTAATGATTATTTAAAATAGATACTAAACCATTCATGGTTGTTATGGAATGATTCATAAGAGTTACTAAATAATTCATAGTAGTTACTGAATAATTCATAGCAGTTACTTAATGATTCATGAAAGTTACTAAACAATTCATAAATCATTCACAGTATTTATTGAATAATATGTTAGTAGTTACTCATGAATTTATAGTCGTTACTGATAATATATAGTAATTATTAAATACTTCATACTATTTACTTAGTAACTCATATTAGTTTCTGAAAAAGCCATAGTAGTTGCTGAATAATTAAGTTAACTGAAAAATTTGTAGTAGCTATTGGATAATTTATAGTCATGCCTAAATAATTTATAATACTTCCTCAATAAGTCATATTAGTCACTGAATAATGAATAGCTATAACTAAATAATTTCTAAGAATTACTAAATAATTCATAGTAATTACTAAATAATTATTAGTTATATATTATAACTATATAATATAATATATAATAACTGAAAAACTCACAGTAGTTACTGACTAATTAATGGTAAATGCTGAACAATACACTTTTAAGCTTTATAACTGAATAATAAGCCTAAGGTTTTAGGGCTTAAATGAAATTTGCCTGTTTGAATGTGCACCTTGATAGACTCCAGTATTCCTCCATGTCCTCCATTCTCCATGCGCTCCTCCTCACTGCTCACTGCATGACCCAGCATGGCCTGAGTCTGTTTGTGCAATTCATTATGAAGGTTATCCAGCAACGCTGTTCGCGTTCTCTCCTAAAGCACACAAACAGATACACACGGGGGACATGTATACAAATTCATGCATGCGTGCATATACTCAATTCAGTCAGGTAACAACATGCCTACAGAATTTTACATCAACTGTATTTATCCACTCTTGCTCGAGTACAATTCTGTTGTCCTTTTTATGCTTACCTCAAGCTTGGCAAATCGGTCTGACCGGTAGCAGGCCAGCTCAGCATTGATCAACTTGGTCAGCAGAAACTCTCGAAATTCTGGACCCTATGGATGGACACAGTGAGACAGCAAATACAGTGACAAGGTAAACAACATTCAGAAATGATGTTAGCATAAAATCCTCCAAGAAGCTGAATATTTGTCCTCATTCACCTTTTTGAAGACTGGTGGGTTTGGGAGGGGGGGGCCAAACTGTGGCACATCATCTCGTGCTGTGACAGACACCTGTAACCCATCACCCACATTTAGCCAGTGGATAAATGTACTGTCAAAAACATTTGGTCTGGGTATGAAAGTGCTTGTGTTCTTTTTGAAGCTTGACTGTAAACTGATTTTCTACCTTGTAGGTGGTGTTGTCTGTACAAGGATTCTCCACTTGGACCAGGATGTAGGCATGGAGGAAGTTGGAGGCAATCATGTCGGGAACAAACGGTGTGGCCTCCTCTTGGAAAACTGCTGCCACAATGTCATTCCCTATGTGTCTCTTCCTTTGAAGCTGTGTGTGAAAAATGGCCATGGACATTTTGTAACAGACAGCCAGACTAATAACTCACTGTGCAGTTAAGGCAAGTGCAGTGTAGCATGAGTTTCCTAGTAAATCACTGTGGTGAGTAGTAGCAGATGGCTAGAGCTGTAGGTGTGATCCCTGGCTCAGGCTAAATCTACACCTGTTGTGTGTCTCCTTCTGTGTAGGGCAGCTTAGTAGAGACATGGAACATCAACTCCTGTCCTCTGAAAACAGTGTAAACAGACTCAGAACCTGTCTGCCCATGACAGACATCCAGACCACCTCGGAACCTAACAGAAGAAGAGAAAGATCACTGAGCAAGAAAAGGCTTTGGCTGACTTATCACAATCAGAATAATCTTCATTTCCCAGTATGTATCTGGAATTTGTCTTGCCACTTTTCACCACATTTGTCTTCTTTGTTTTGTTTTCTAAATGTTCACCATATTGAACATTTAGAAACTAAATCACACCATATGTAGTACAGATCCCACCATATGTAGTACATAAGAGAGGTGAATGTTTACCATGCATTTTACTATTTATACAGTTTTTGATAGGGGCCATATATAGATTATAAACAGTATGTGCAGAAGTCGGAGACCACCTTTCATTTATTTAATTTCCGGTCAGAGTCAGGAAAAAAAGCAGAAACATTTAAAATTACACAGAAGCATCAACAACTAAACATATCAAATTTGTCAGTATTTAGTGTTTTTACTTTTTGTCTTTTTATAGCTTCCATTCTTTTTTTGGGAGAATTGCTTTCAGTTTTTGAAACAAATCTGCAGGGATATTCTTCCACACCGCCAAAGTTTAGTCTTAGATGTTGGTTGCATTTTTTGCTCCTCACAATAAAAAAAAACACATTCCATGATGTTGAGGTCTGGACTTTGGGTCAGTCCAATGTTCTAAGAACACCCGCAGCATCTTTGTTTGACTTGTAAATGTTCTTTTTTTTGTCTTTTTGCTTCACTGAAAGCTTTTTGACAGCTACACATCCTTTCAGACCCATTGCGATGTCATCTTTTCACAGTGGACAACAGACAGAATAATCTGTGTATTTTAACTGGGTCTTGCAGGGTTGTTAGAAGTCCAGTTTTGGAAACCTATTTAACTTATATTTTTTTCACTTATTTTCCTTTGACTTTCTTCTTTCTTATGCAAGTGAATTAACTCATCTATATTATCCTCAGAAATATCCCCAGAAAAATTAATAACCTTTTTTACTGTAAATTAAATAGTTAAGGGTGGTTTCTGACCTTCATTTATATGCACTAACTGAATCTCCTGCACCACCACCTTTGACTTTCAACTTTAGCTGAAAACCTAGCACAAACTTAGAAACCCCTTCCTTCGTTTTGTTTTTAATACAGATAGATGCACAAATATACTTTTCATTGTCAAAACCTTTGGAGATAAAAGCTTCCTTCTGAGTGTGATAAGGTGTCATTGTGTCTGCAGGTATCTTTTTCACCTTCTGCCTAACCATCACTCTTACCCTTTAAAATTCTGCAGCTCTACACAGTCTCCCAGCATTTGGAGAAACTCCGTGAAGGCTGGCGTTTCCTCACTGTTTCCAAACAGCTCCTCTTCTGAAGTCTGCACAGATGATAATAATAATTCAATGTCGATTAGCCAAGACAGGGTGACTACTGTAAAGTCATGTGGGGGAGGTCCCCCAAGGGGCAGAAACAGAAGCGCTAAAGTACAGAAATTACAGCGAATCTGAATGCAAAAGTGATTCAGACTCAAGCACTGTAATTTGGAACTGTGTTTTTTGCAAGGGCCTTGAAATACAGTCTACACTGGAATTACAATATTGATTAAATTTAGGGATGCACAGTGATATTGGAATCAAATCGATATTGGCAGACATTTGCTTAAAAAATTGGAATCTAACAGATTTGACTGATATTTCGAAGAGACATTTGATGAATGATGACCTATTGTACTCTGAAAGAGCATAACATTTAGGCGATGCTGGGTTACTGTACTAAAATGTGTGCATTTTATTAATTTCACTGCATTTTCAAACATTTTCTAGCTATAACTGTTACATTTCTCTGTAATGCTAAACCCAGAAAGACATAGTCCCAATTTCTCTTTATAATAAATAAATAATATAAATATTTATAAATGGTTTTAAATCGGCATCGGCATATATGTACATGATATCTGATGTACAAAATATCGGCATCAGAACACAATTCCTATATTAGTGCATCCCTAATTAAAAATCATACAGCTTCCCTGACATTTGAATTTGCATATTTGCACTGTATGTGGAGCTGGATGGTATGCTGTATTCCCACTCACCTGACCAAACTTCTGGTAGATGACACCAAACTTGAACGTATTGTTAACCTCATGCTCATCATAGCTCACTATTAACTGAGAACCCTAGGAAATGAGAATGTTTCAGCTGTTATTTCCTGTATTGTCCCAACTGAGATTCAGTAATCAGATCACACTAAAGTAGTGTTTATTAAAACTTGAATAATCAGATTCATCACAGGGCAAATCACAAGTTCTCAGACTGCTTCCTGTATTATCTGGTTTCATGACACCAGTGTCCTTTGTCACTAAAATATTTGTGCTTACTAGCAGGAACTGCTACCACTTCCTTTTCCTAACACATGTCCTAAAAGGACAGCTAAAAGATATTGCCAAATGAAGAATAATATTTTTATTTTTGAAGTCTTAAAATATAAACATTGTCCAAAGTTCCTTGTTGTGTAGACTGAACTCACCCTTGGGTACAACACAGGACTGAATCTCAGGCCAACAATATCTTCACAAAGCAACTACAAGAAGAGAGAACAACAGCACTGAAATCTGTAACAGGTACACCAGGTTCGGTCCAAACCAAGTCAATGCACTCAAACAAAATATGAAAGTAATAGTTAGTAGTAAAAATCTTCTTACAACAAATGTAGTCAGTCAGCAATATTTGGCTAAGTTTTTGTCTTTAGTTTTACTCTGGAGCTGTAAGGCTAATGTAGCTAAGGATAATGGAAGCTTATACTCTGTTAGCATTATGCTAAACTGCATGCCTATATCATTGTACAATTGCTTTACTCTGCATCAAATTGTTAAATAATTTCAAATAAACTTGCTTATGTAGTTTCCGACATAGTTATCCATAAAAATAGAAAAAAGTTTAGACAAAATTCTGCCTTCAAGATGTTTTTAGCACCCTTTAGCTAGCTTTGTAGCTCCAATGCTAAAGATGTAAAATTACACATCAAACATATCTTGGCTGATCTTTATAGGGATCTAGGAGCAAATTGTGTAAAATTTGATAAACTAAACACACTACTGCCTTACGTTTTGCATGTACCAGCTTATAAGTAAAATGGTTAGAAGTTTTTGAAAGGAACATCCGTTTAAGTCATTTTGGCTTCAAAGGTCAGTAACTATAAATGACAGTCCAGCACAGCAGCATCATCACCTTGGCTAACTGAGGGACACTGGGGAGCTCGGTCAGACCTGCGAGAGAAATCCTGTCATAAATAGTCTTTGATGGTGTCCTGAGAGAAGGGGAGAGCAAGAGAGACATCCACAGAATTTAATGAAAAGATGCAATCAAACATGTAGGACATAATACACTTGGATGTATAGAATGTGTCCCAGGGGTGTTATTACCTCAGTATGATGTGCAGATACTCCTGATCCTTTGTCTCCTCTTGGCGGAGGGACAGTATGAGGTTGCCATGGTTACTGGCTGTGCAGTAGAAGTTGAGGTGTTCCTGTGAAAGGGTGAAGTGTGAGCGTTTTACGGTCACTCTTATCTATCCAAACAGTCTGAGCTGCTTTAATGTCTGTCCTATTAGCTCAGCTCCCCAAGGTCCCCTTTAAAATTAATTAGACACCATATCTCCATTATTGGCACCATATCTCCATTAAATATATTTGCTGAGGGATTATGTGCTTGCAGCATGTAGCAGGGATGTTGCCCAGGCCTCATTTTTCAGAGCTGAATAATCAGTGGTTGCTATGAATCGTTGATTGTCTATTGTCTGTCGTGCAAGTACAATATAGTAGATTTCATTCTTTAAAAACAAAATGCTACTGATTTATGGGATACCAGGACAAGTAGAGAGTGAAAAAGAAAAAAAAACAAACACCAGGTTTACAGGTGTGATCAAAGCTTTACTCCCTATACTTCACAGAACTAGCAAGGTGCCAGTTCTTCTTAATCTGTTTAACCCTTCAGCTTCTTTATATGTACACATCCTATGATTTAGCAAGCATTGTCATTCAGTAACAACACAGGAAACAGTGCAAATTATTGTATTATTATAAACTTACGGAAGTGAAAAATGGAACCCAACAAAGCAGTTCTGGTTACACTCATGTTTCCTTAGATTTTCAGATATACATGATCAGTCAGGAGACTGTGAACTTCACCACACCACTACGTTTGTAACACATTACACCTAAATCTTCGATCTGGAAAACTGGCCCCACCTCTGACAGAATGAATTACAGATTTGCAACTTAATTTACAAATTTACATGCTTTCTTTTCCTTTGTAAAGGTAGGGAAATGCGTTAAAATCACTGTCTGTGGTAACTGACCATATATATCCTACTGATGCAGCACATACAGAAGGAGTGTCAAACTTTTTTAGGTAATTCAGTAATTTTAGGTAACAGACCACATTTCACTTAGTCCACTGTTGGGTGGGCTGGACGCAAACAAAAAATCAGTTTAGTTGGCCAATAATACATCAACAGCTCCTCAAAAATGTGTTAATTTGCAGCTGAATTTTGAATGAACAAACTGATTGACCAAATATAATTTATAAAACAAATTAGATGGTCAGACTAAAATTAATCACTGCATCTTCCGATGATGGGGATATGTTATCTTTTGCACAAGGTTTTTTAGCAAACTTCAAAGAATGTGAGTGCATAAATATTTATCTCCAAATATGATGTTTTAATCACAAAAGTGAACGCTATGGACTGTCAGCAATGCCCGGCAGCTAAGATCAGACAAGTTAACTTAGCTGGCTAACTGATCTCAACATTGTTCTGCAAAGTCATTTATCATTAGAAACTTTAAAATTAAAACAACATTAAAAATGATGTTAGCAAATACAGAAACGTGGATAAAGTTAAGCTTCCCTCAGGGCTGCTTGTTCATAGTTCTGGCATTAGCTGTGATTGTGGTCTTCCACACAGATTAAGCCAAAACTTTTTCAGCATCAATAATGAAATAAAAACATCTTTATTGTCCAGATGATCAGGATGTCTGAATTACATATTTGTCACATCTCTTAGCCTAATAATTGTGTTTAAATTACTACCATTGCCATTCTCACCCCAGGGATGTTCTGAGCAGTTTTAACAGAGTTTTTCAATCGCTTGTTGGAAGAAGTATTGCTTGGACATGGATGCTAAGCAATGATTATTTTAGTGTTGTGTCAATCATTCATTTGCAAATGGTCCAAGACAATTTGAATTTAGAACATGGATTTTACATTCATCTGGCATGCCTGATAGTAACCATGACTGGGCCAGTCCAGGCCCATGGGCCACATGTTTGACACCTCCGCAATAGGGATTAGGATTAAAAACTCTTAAATATTCCTTTAAGGGGTAAAATTGGTTAAAGGTGTTTAGTTCCGTTTTTATGACAACCAATTCACACCTTCTACTAGGTATACTATGATTTCACATTAGTTCCTATGTTTTATTAAACATCAGACAGGCGCTTACTCTGCCCAGAAAGTGCTTGCGGTAGGCTCGTATGGCGTAGTTACTTTCCAGCCGGTATCCAAACTCGCCACCTGGATTCATTCCTTCTTCTTCCTCCTCATAACTGCAACAGTTTTCCCATGTGTTTGGGGTGATGGCCGAAGCCTCGGGGTCTTCTATCCAGTAACCCCCAAACTGTGGAAGGATCACCTGAGGGTATGGCGCACCTTGCTGCAGTACCTACCATGCCGAAAACAAACAGTACTGAGTACTTCAGTGTACTGATCATCTTGGATGATTATCAGCTTAAGCCCCAAAAAGTACAGCTGGCCTTACCTTTTCTATACTTGGATATGGAATATAATCATCCTAAAGAAACAAAAAACAGTGTTATGGTTTTATTCTCACAAAATAACCTTGCATATACTTTCTGTACATACTTTCTCACACATGCGCACACTGAATAAAACACAGACACACAGGTACAAGAAGTATGCCAGACACATTAACACACACACAATTCAGAAAAAGAACAGATAACCACAACAACAACGTCACAAGCTAATGATGGAGAACCTTAAAATCTTATTTTTTAAAAATCATAGAACACAAACATGCACAACTGGAACTGTGTTGGGGTATTAATGGATATGAGCAAGTGAAGGGACAAATATTGGCCCAAAGGGACACTTCAAGGCTGCGTTAGTGTGATTCATGAGAAATCACTAATGCTAAGGTGCTAATAATCAGCTACAGCAGTTAACATAATGTAAGATGTACATATGTAATTTGTAAACAGTTAAAAACCATCTTCAGTTAAAAATAGCATCTTCATACCACTAAAGCAACCTGTGATCTGAAGTGTAGCCCTGGGCTCGTAACTCATACTCTGCAGACCTTCACTCTCTGTGGGCCTGGCCTCATCTCATCCACCTCTGACACCTGCTATAGGTCAAGGTCAAAAGGTCAGCTTTCAAGAGGTCTTGAGTCATGAAAGTCAGGATGAGAAGTAGAGCATTTTCTGAGGCTTTATGGTGATGTTCGTGTTCAATGTAAACTCGTATTAGCAAATGTATAAAAAACTGAAGTTACTGCGAGGGACACTGACCCTGCCTGATGGTAGAATTATTGTAACTGGCTCAAAAATTAAAGATTTTTAATGTTTTACTTCTTACCTCCATCTTTTCTAGTGAGTCAAAGAACGGTGCAGTCTGTGGAGAAAGAGAACAATTAGACAGACAGACAGACAGATAGATAGACAGATATATAGTAGCGATATGCATTGCAACTAATTTTGATGTTCGAGTATGCGCGAGAGTTAATGAACGGATATCCAGTTAACCACGGCGAGGGAAAAACATGGTAAACGGCCAGAAAAATGGGCTGCAGTCCGAATTAACGTAGAGGTGAAGAGGTAGAAGCTTACTCTTTTAGGTGTAAGTGTTAAGAGGTTAAAAAAACAGCAGCACAACCATTTAGCAAAGAGGGGAAAACATTAGAAAACATGTTTTATTATTCAAAAAGGCCGAAGAAAATCATTTTCGTGTTGGGTGAAATGGCTGCGTCTTTGAATAGGAGCTACAACTACAGCCAAGTTAACTGGTTCCAAACTGGATGCTGATAAGAATTCATTGTCTTACATGACATATCTACCCTCAGTGGATGATGTGCCAACATGTTGGTTTGTTAGAGAAATATATTTACACTGTTTGTGGACCCAGCTAACATCAGCCTGAGCAGTTAGCCTAGTTAGCGACAGAGCCGCGCTCCTCAGTCACGGCCTTAACAGCGCGTTTCCACGCTCGCGTGATGTGAAACGGAACGAGTGATTTTGAATTTTGGCGCCTCGAACCGAGTCCTCCTGTGTCCGTATTGCATAATCAGGAATATTGTGTATAATACAAATACCGAGTAGCTCGTTTTACCTTCATCATAGGCTACACATTGAATGAGACCTGCACAGCCTGGCCTGTCTTTATTCTCAGACTGTCCCGTGTTTTGGTCAAGCAGTAAGAAACAAAATGCAATAGTTTGCAATGTCTTATTTTCAGTTAAAGGGCTTTACCCTAACAGAATTATTAATTATTATTTTATCACTTTTGCATTTCTTGATTGGCTGCTGTTTAATGTAGACCTTTCTTTTAGGTGTTCATGACATTTTTAGAAGCAGGCAATGTATTAGATCTTTCAAGGACTACCACAGTGTACTTTCCTTATATATTTTGTCTCTAAGTTCAACTTAACTTTTCTTTAACTCTAACCCTAAAGACTCACTCTAACCTGTACTCAGCCTCTTCCTAAAACCTAAACCTTTACCATGATCCTAGTCTTAATGCTGTGGATAAACCAAATTACCAAATAGTTTTACCAGACTGACTAAAAATGTGTTTTTTATTATTATTTATTTTGTGTCATTCTTATTTTATTTCCCTTATGCCCCTCACTATTTTATTGGTTATTTAGGTTTTATATACATTGTTTATGTCCGACATTGTGCACTCTTATAGTTCTCTTTTTATACATTTTATTGTTTTTTTTGAGGAACCATTCAACATTTACATATGATTTTCAATTCTTAAGCCAACATGACCACATATCTGAATAGATATTAAGAGATAGAGAGATGGACTGCTGATGTGTCTGGAAAGCCCAGTTTTCATCTTGACATATTACATTCTTAGTGACCTTATTTAAAATGTCTTCCTTTCCTTTTTCTTTATCAATACACAGAAGACCACATCACTGGGGACTGGCCAGGTTATGGTCCACTGAGCAAGCAGGACAGCACTTCTCCACCTTCGTAAGCTCTTTTCTCAAGGTAAAAGGCTAATGAGATAATAGTAATGTTTCATTAATAGTGTAATTTAATGAAGAGTGAACAGTTAATAGAGTCTACATGAATGCTTTAACTTTCTGGTCCATCATACTTTCTACACTTTGTGGAACCTTTTTAGAGCTCTTTTTAGAACTTGTATATGTGCAGAAAAAGGTTTTAATAAGATAATTGTTGGAGACTTGCAAGAAATACAAAAATTCAGATACCTAAAAGAAGATATCTGTAGTGAATTTTTGGTAACACTTTATTTACCGCAGATGGGGACTCCATGACACTTACATAAGCGTTAAATAACATATTTATTATTATTATGAACATCTTATGCCGGTATTTGCAAGATGAAAAATGTATCCACATAAGTGCTTTATACAAAAGTGACAGACATTTGTTCCATCTATAACCCTGTTATGAAGCATCATTGCCAAGTAATGGAACCTATATGGCTGGAACCTACTTATGAAAACACCCTGCATTCATCAAATGTTTTGATTTGCATACATATTTTGTCCATATATAAATGCCAGTGGTGGACAAAAGCAGAGATAGCCTTGGGTCATCTTGCAAATACTGGCATATGCTGTTCATAAATCCTCAAAAATTGCTTTAAAATATGTTATTCAGTGTGTATGCATGTGTTAAATGCCTATGCGGGAAGCCTTCGAGTGTTCCTGAATTTTCTTAACCAGCTCCAGCAACTCAGCATACAGTTTGTTGTGAAGGCACTGAGTCAGAAGACCTAGAGGTCCTCAGCTTACCTTCATGGCGGGTGGGGCGGTTCTTGGGGGAGAAGGTGGGCAGTCTGCCAGAGGCACATTGTTGATAGTCAGCAGCTCTTGCTTCCTGTAATACAACATCATCACATACAGTCTCAGCTAAAACACATAACACCCTTTTAGTGACTGCTGCGATAAAAAGGTATACATAGAGAAAATATTTCATCTTAAAGCTTAAAGGCAAGACATGTTTGGTGCCTGCTTCTTTAGTTTTGCTAAAGAGCCTAATGTAGCTAACAAGTAATGGAAGTTTATACCTCATTTATTAGCATCATGCAACTACATGCCTAATTCATCACATTCAGCTCAAACCGTGTTCAGTTATTAAAGCAACATTTGGAGATCTCTCAAACATCAGCTCTGCATCTGTGGTGGAAATGTGTAATTGCACACAGCGTTCGGAAGAACATTTGGTAATGGCGGCTGTGCTTCGAACTCTTTCTCTGAGCGGATTATTCTGATGATTGTGAGCTTGTTGAAAGAGTATTCAAAGAGAACTCAGTCAAAACTCAGTGTAGGATGTGTCTTCTGCACTGTTAGAAATAAAGGTACTTTGCAGGTACATTTTTCGTTCATTAAAGTACAAACAATGTAAAGGTACCCTCAAAGGTACAACAGTGGTTTTAAGGTCCAATTGTGGACCTTGAATAAGATTTTTCAAGGTGAAAGGTACATATTTGTATCTTTTCATGCTACAGCCATCCATGGCCAGGAGTCCAAGAGAGCACAATTGGCCTCGCTCTCTCTGGGTGGGTAGGCTGGCCCCCCCCCCCCCCACTCAACGCGATGCTAGTCAGCGCAGGCGTCTGTTAGCTGACGTAACAGATCTGGCGGTTGGCGCTTTCCGCTGAGCGCGTTCAGCTGTCCAGTGTCGCTGCCTGAGCTGCAGTTTAAAAAGATGCGGTAGCTGGCTTCACAGGTCTCGGAGGAAGCCTGTGTTAGCCTTCACCCTCCTGGTGTTGGTACTATCGTGTGACTGGGGGAGTCCTAACTAGTGGGTGGAATTGGAGACGACTAAATTGGGAAGAAAATTGGGGAAAAATCCAAAAAAGAAAAAAAGAAATATGTCACAAGCGTGTAAGAGTGTGGGGATATAAATGAATTATCTACTGTTGTCATTATATCTTCATCAGTATAATATTAATTTTGCATTGATTCGTAAAGACATATAACAAGGGTTGAAAAACTCCCAGGAATGCCGACCTGATACCTCTGACTGTAGAATTATTATTTTGGGATTATATGTAAGCATATTTTTTTTTTCTCCTGACTCAGTAATGCTACTTCTTTCAAATGTAACAAAAACGTATATAGTGCAGCGTTAAGTAATCTTAAAAAGACTTGCTTAAGTGGATTCTGAAACTGTATGACATACTGTTATCTATATAAACGGACAAAAGTTGAAGTCTCAAGAAGGCTGCTACTCTTTTCAGCTAAGCAAAAGTAATGTACACCAGAATACAGCATAGCTAAAAAACAGTAAGACAATCTAATTTAGGTAACTTAATGTCTCCATACAGTTTGAGGCAAGCATGTTATGATTAGGCATGTAGTTTGCATGTGGCCAACTGGTGACTTGTTTCCATTACTGGTTAGCTACATTAGCCTCATAGTTCCAGTGCAAACCTAAAGAAGCAAACTTCAGACATCAAAATGGCTTGACTGGCATTTGGGGCAAAGAATATAACTGTGTACCTTTGGGTTTTTTTTGCACTATTCCTTTAATATTAAGCTCAAACTGTTCACCATATGGACAGACCTTTAGCAAATGCTTTAAGTAAATTTGCTAGAGGTTTGTGTTGTTTTCTGTTCGTGAACTGTCCATATGGTAAACAGCTTGAGACCTTCACCCATGAATGTAGACGCACCCATCTCTATCTCTCTCTCTCTCTCTCTCTCTCTCTCTCTCTCTCTCTCTCTCTCTCTCTCTCTATTTCGCTCTCTCTCTCAGCTGCCATCTTCTCTCCCTCGAACTGAAATGAACTCGCTGCACTTCATCATCATAAAGTTCATCAAAAAGAGATGGACCTCATTTAGTCATCTATTATTGGGACAGAGCCCTTGAAAAGTCCAGGTTCAGGAGAAGTCTAGGTCTGCTTTACATTCATTTTTCTCCGCTTTGCACCTTCCATAACATGGAACAAGGTAGGGCAAGAGAGGCTATGTGTGTGTGAGAGAGAGAGAGTGAGAGAGAGAGAGAGAGAGAGAGACAGACAGACAGAGAGACAGACAGATAGGGAGAGCGGTACAGAGAGAGAGATGAATATGACTAAAAATATCCACCCAATCCCTCATAAGCTCTCTGTAGAGCTTATGAATAGATTCCGAAGATCCATCATTGGACATGTCTCTAGTTCTTATTAGGAAGCCAGTGCCATATCATATATTACATTTAATATAGAGAAGAGCTGCCATAATTCTATTCTCAGACAGTACTGATGAAAGAAAAACAAAACACTGTGCCACATAGACAGCATCGACTCACATATATTGGCAAAACTAATCAATCCTTTACTTTATAATGATAGCAATGAAAGTATGATATTAATGTGTACCTCACAAGACACAAACCTCCAGTTATCCAATTTTTAACAGCTTAAGCTAGCCAGAGAATTTTCCTTTAAACTCATTGATGCTGTGTCATAATCCTTTATCTTTCATGCCCCAGAAAGATACAGATTAGGGGAAATTCAGGTTTTGACATTTTTTTTTATCTCCTCCAACTTCATTCTGTTGCTGAGGCAATCACAGATACACCCCCCCCCCAGCCAAGCTCCATCAAACCCGGAGATAGTGTCCAGATTTGTGAACGTGTGGATGCGGCAACGTGCCCGCAAGAGCTTTAGAAAGCCATGAAACCAACCAAGCATATACATGCTATGTACGTATGCCATCGTTCTGGAATATACAAGACAGTTCATGTTCAGGAGGCCATTTTTAATATTAAAATCAATCATGTAGTACTTTAGCTGATTATTCTTGAAAGCTAATCCTTAGAAGTTGAGAAATATTACTGTGATTTTGCCAGACTACTATATACATAATTGTGTATTTTATTACATAGTTACAGAAGACGTTTCAATTACATTTCATTTACATTCTGTATAAGCAATTTCAAGTTTGTACTTCCTTCTTTTTTATGTAAACAAGGCATGATATCAGCATATAGATGGTTTTTCTTTCTGCAAAAAAAGACTGCATACATAATAATAACTTTTTATCAAATTTAAATAATAATAAAATATCTACACTTCTATTTAAAAACACAAATGTAGTGCTGATTGAAAGTTTAGTATCTACAATTTCAACTCTCTCTTCAGTGAGAAACAATTCATACTAAAGTTTCACCATGTTTTTGCTACAAGTGTATCTTCTAAGACCTGATGCACACATATTGCCTCTGCAGGGTATGAGCGATGTGGAACGTCTTGATTTTCATTTCAGTGCTCATGTTAACATGTCAGCGCTTTCACACAGGCAGCGCGAGCGAAGCAGCAGAAAGTCCCAGACACTACACTGAAGTGGTGTGGTATATAGAAAATAGACGAGGAGCTGATGTTTTCCACACGCCATGTGCCACACAGCAAAATACAATGAAAAAAGCCATGAAAATCAAAGATGATTAAACAGAAAAAGAAATAAAAGCTTAAAAATTATATAAATAAATTTGTTAATTTATTTAATGAAAAAAATACTCTTTAAACATTCCTTGCTGCACACAGATTTCCCGGTTGGTCTACCAGGCTTGAAACTAATCGCCCAGTCACTGAGCTCTTTTATAAATTATATTTTTATTGAGCAGAGTGACTGATCAGTCACTGCTGCACCACTCACGTCACGCAGAGGTAGTATGTGTGAATCAGGTCTAAGGCTTAATACTGCGTGATGCTCTCTGATGTTGTGTTGTCTTTCTGTAGTCAGCGTAATGCCCAAATTAGGAACTCCAGGCCTCTGGGTTTTTCTCTATGAGAAAAATGAATGGTGTTTTTGAAAATTGCTGCTTTGATGTCCTGTGCTAAAGAAAAAATATTAGACTGTTCAAAAGTCTGCTCAACCTAACATAGGTTAGGTTCACCCATTCACGCTGAAGTTATAAAGATTGTTTCAGACCGGACCGCTTTTTTGAATGAGGTACAATACAGGGCAGCCAATCAGAACAGAGACAGTTTGCATATATCAGTCTTAAAGGCACTGTAGCAGAAACAGCCTGTTTAATTCTAAGGCATAAAAAGAGATTAGAAAGTGCCATATAAAGATAAATCATGACTGTTTTGGTACATAAATCTACACAAACACCATAAGTAAAAATAAAATACAAAAACAACAGGAATAATTTAGAATATGGGTCCTTTAAATGGTAACTGTGATATGTTGGGAGTTGACTTGCACACTGTTTTTCTGTTCAAGGGCTAATCTAATACTTTACTTGGCTTCCAATATGATTTGTATGTCTCCATATTTCATTTACATGTTCACAGGGTTAGTGCCTGAATTCAGTTTTAACTACACTACAGTACACAGTACAACTACACCTTAGCCTCTGACAACAACAGCCGCTTTTGCTCTGGCAGTGACAGACAGAGAAGCAGAGAAAATCAATAGATAAACAAAGAAAGTGGAGGCAGCGAGGGAAAATTACAGAATAAATGAAAATGGCTGAAGGTAATACCGAGGCGCAAACAGCAGATGGAGAGACTGTATTTTGGAGGTAGAAATCAATGTAAACTTCCAATTCTGCTTGTGAAAGGAACACTCACTGCGTTTCAAATTGGCTGGACACGTAAAATGCCCTTAAGCCTCAGAAGACAACGCTTTTAAGACTTGTGAACAAATGTAGGTGTACAGCATGGGGAGAATGTTGCCAACAACAAGTATGAGAAGAGGTTATAATTCACTCATGCAAGCACAGAGTTCTCTTTCTGAAGGGAGACGAACGGTTAATAGTTATTACTCATCTCTGACAGCATTCACAGCAGAGAGGCAGAACAGATATGATCACTTGCACTGAAAAAGTAATTCACCATGTTTACATCATTTCTACATGAATAAAACGTAGCAAAACTGAAAGCAAAATGGTGTTGATGTAATATAGTTTATTCATGTGGAAATAATGTACACGTTTAAATCAAGGAATATTGTCTACAAGAGTATACTGATATAGAATAATACTTAATTGAGCAGTATTGACAGATAGCAAAAACTTTTTGTTAGGCGCTTTCCTTTGATTAATGTAAAAAATATTCTTTAGTGTTCCTTCTGGTGTCATTTTAAGAGAAGCAGAACAGAACAAATCAAAACAGTCCAGTCAAAACAAGCTGTCGTATTTGTTTAGCATAGAGTCAGGAAAAAATAAGTTTGTTAACTTTATTAATACAAACTCAAACATCATATTGTGATATATACTAGGAAAAATATTATGACATTGAATTCTATCAGTATTGTCCAGCACTGCCTCCACATCACACATACAAACCCCCCAAACAGCAGGCTCACCCACCACTGGCTGTCCCTGGCTCGCAGTCTCTCCCTCTCCCTCTGTCTGCGGGAGCGGTGGAGGAGTCCAATGAGCGCAGCGGCTGCCCGGATGCCAGCTCTCCTACAGCGCACTCTGGACCTCAACTCAGACATCCCTTGGCCCCCTGAGTCCCAGGCTTAGACTTAGACTTAATCTCAATCTGCCCGCTTACATTACGTTACAGTATTACTGTTACATTACAGCACTACCATTATATTATAGCGTGACCATTACATTACAGCTTTACCATTAGATTACAGTATTACTATCACATTACAGGCTTTAGCTGCTAAATCTGCACCGTCACTATTCCTCTACCTCCCAGAGACTGTGTGTGGAAGCATCCTTCACCGTGAACACCTCTCTCTCCTTCTCTCACTCTCTCTCGCTTTATCTCTATTTCTCACGGTGCCCCCCCACCCCTCCCTTTCACTGACATTTTATGCACGTCTCTCGTTCTCTCTCTCTCTCTCTCTCTCTGCCTTATCCTGCCTTTAACAGCTTAGCACTAACTGCTTAACCTCTGTTATATTGTCTCTCTGTCCATGCTGTAAACACGTTTTGTTCAGATTCTCTCTTTCCACAGCTTCATGTCTGTTTTACCTCTCTTTCTTGCTTTATATGCTAAACCATTTCCTTTCCCTCCCTCGCTCTCTGCACTATGAAGACTATGCGTGTCCTTTTTCTTCTTTGGGTTTTGTAATTACACTGTGTCCGTCTCTAATTTTCTGCTCATTATCTGAAGCAATCTCTTGGTACTGCCGTCTCTAGCGCTACAAGTAATGGTGCATCTTCTAAAATGGCTTAATCGGAACAATGTTCTGTTTTTAAAACTGACTCCATTAGCATTAAACATCAGGCTGGTCCAGATGGCTTTGCTTTTCGCTGCCAGCAGCCTAGCAGAGGACTGTTCATGAGAAGCAGTAAACAATAAGCAGGATGTGATGTCCACCTGTCCATCAGTGGGTGATCAGTGCAGAGGCGTCTTTTTATATACAGTATTGTAAAAAAGTCAGAGGTCAACACTTCACTTAGGTAATTTTCAGTCAAAATGGTTATTAAGTACAAGTTATTCAGTTTTTCAGATTTTCCAGGGGGGGATTAAATGTAAGATAATTGTTGCATAAGAAATGGGAAAGACAAAGGAAAATGTGAAAAAAGCAGGAATTTCCAAAACTGGAGTTCAAAAATGAATAAAAGATATACAGAAACCAGAACTAACAACCATGCAAGACCTAGTATACCACCAAAACTGTCACCATCAGATAAACAGTACTTCAAGCTTTCATCTTTGACAGATAGGAAAGAATAAAGCTCCACTGTTACTTCAGATATGAAAAAATCAACAGGTGTTTTTGTCCATCCTTCCACTGTGTGAAGACAATTCAATGCAGTTTGTTCTGCAAGGACGTGTAGCTGTCAGCCGATACTGAGACAGGGAAATATACAGAAAGACAGAGTCTAGACCACAACATCACTGAATGTGTTTGGAATTACTTGGATCGTGAGAAGCAGAAAATGCAACCAACTTCTAAGACTGAACTTTGGGGGTGTGGAAAAAGTATCCCTGGAGATTTTTTTTAAATATTGAGTTTCCCAATTACAGTTACAGTTATTATAGCTTCCTGAAAAGAATGGAAGCTGTAATATAGGCAAAGATTGGACAATGAATATTGAATTTAGTTGTTGAGACTTCTGTGTATTTTTATTGTAAACATATGTTTTCTGCATTTTTTTCTCATATTGAATGGCCATTTTGTCTGTAAAATGAATAAATGAGGGGTGGTCTTTCACTTTTGCACAGTATTGTATATTGCACTGTATTGCTGAAACACACTCATTACACTTGCTGAGGGTATGAATAACATTCAATATTACAGTACCGTAAACGAGTCCAGAATGATGAACAGAGCAGTGAATGATTCTAGAACGAGTGAGTAAAGCTGTATAACTTGTTGTACAGAGCTTGTTTCGATTTTGATTGGACTATTTTGCTGTGTTCTGCTTTTTTAGACACTATATAGAACCCTGCGTGATATTGTAATCAGACAGAGAACACATTTCCAGAAAAGAAAATGCACTATTTATTTAGTTTTTTATGCATTTTAATAGTGTCTGAAGTTCAAGATACCTAACAAATTAAAAAATATTATACTGTCTAAACAATATGAACCACCCAGTTTTGTTACCTGTAAGTAAAACAGAACTGTTGTGTGAGGATACATCACCCAGCATTAATCACACTCCCACTGCGGCAGATGATGATTGTGATTGCTAACAGAGATAAAGCAGTAAAGAAGCTTCCACACTGCAGTGCCACAGCACCTGTGCACTGAATCTGTGAGCATATCTGTTATTCTGTCTGATGGGGTTCTGCTGTGCTAGCAGTGAAAAATTCTGCAAAAGAATACATGTCCTAGTATTACCTTTGCAGACAAGCACAGCCCTGGGGTAAATGGGGATCACATACAGTCACATGTCTGTGCTCAAAACATTATCCTAATCAAAAGAATTGTCAATAATGAGATGCTAGCTACATGCAAATGTGTTTCATTCTTGTGTGTGTAGTTTCTAAAGAGCACCTTTCAGTAGCCGACGCAAATTCATAAGATGACAGTGTGCTCTGATGACAGTGTCCAAGAGTGTAATGATGTTCTAGCAGTAAAAATAGCCCTCTCTTTCTAACACATAAAATCCACTTGGCATAAATCTGTCTGGAGTTGTTACGCTGGAGCCTGAGGTGAGGATGTGTGTGTAACTAGTGTAACCCCTGATCAAAAGAGCACTTGTGGCTTTAGAGGATGTGTTAGATAACAGCTAAAGTCTCCATGCAGATGAGAAAACACTGATCGCTGTTATTTCGTAAGCAGGGTCACCATGCCATCAAGAACTGGGTGTGGAAATAAGATGCCCTCAAGACCCATAGTCCAAGAGAAAAAAATTGAAAAATGGATAAACAGGGACAAAATTATCTATAATTTATGTTTGTAAACCACAGGTATTTTACAGTTTACAGAAGTTACCACATCAAGACCATTTGCCATTTGAGCCAGAGGGAGTGACAAACTACAACTGCACATCAAGTACAACTTCACAACTAAAAATGATCCTTAAGTTGATTTTACCCCCTACGGTGTGTTTATCAATGGAACCTTTTACACTGGTTGCGGCGTTAACATGCATGTGAAGCGGAAAAAACAAAAACAGCCTGTTTATTTTGTTTTTGCCACGTGCAGCATGCTAGCAGCTTCTAGCTAGAAACAGCAAAAAATTCAGTATTCTTGCTATATTGTGCAATCAGGACCCATAATCAAAACAAGAGACAAATTTAAGATTGATTGAAGTTGTAGCAGCAATATTATACTTGTAGAGAAAGTGCTAGTCTGTTGGACTGATGAGGAAAATAACTGATGAATCAAAAAATCATTAGCTAATAGCCTACATTTATTTAATAGGTAAACAGAAAAAAAAGACATCTGCAGGTTTTGTTAACTTATCTGTCACTGGAAAAACCGGTGTGGAAAGAAAACACTGTTTATTTCATCAATACTTACTTAATGGCAACACGTGAGTCGTACCAGGCGTAAAATAGCAAGCATCACTAAGTAAATTCGGCCTTCCGTGTGCACTGCGCCACCTCTGGTGTAAAATCATCATTAAAGTACAGGTCAAAAAAAGACATGTTCACACAAACAGCTTGCTCAAGAAGAACAAAAGCTTTATCATTATTGCTTGTAATGTATAAACTTAGATGTTTAAATGTTTTTTGCATAATAACATTACCAAAAAAACCCACAAAAAAACAAAAGGGAAAGGAAAACACTAATGAATTGCTTTGTACGCATCTTTGCTTTTGCATCTACATTTTTCAGTTAGATAAAGCATTAAAAAAGTTATCATTTGATTTCACAGTCGTTTAAAAAAACACAGATAAATTGAGAAGTAGTACTAGCTTTAAAGAAAAGAAAGTCTTAGAAAGTGTACATAAAGGCAGTTTATTTACTATCTGAGCAGCCATTATAAACTAGTCATCCAAAAACTGATATAAATAAAGAAACTATGAATGACATCTGTGGACAACTCCTTACCCTAGATTTAGGTGATAAGTTATGGACATAGACACAAAAAAATGAGACTTCAGGAGGCCAGTACTACTGTGTTTAGATATGCAACGTAGTTGTTAGTTTTAACAGACAGCAGTAGTTATACAGTCCCAGAATCCACAGGCTCAGGTCTATCACTTAACAACTTAACATGGTTTGATGCAAGTGTTCGATGATTTAGGCATGCAGTTACCTCAACGCTAATTCGCAGGGTTCCATTACTTTTTAGCTACATTAACCTTGTGGATCCAGTGCAAAGAGATAGATTTCAAACCTGTCATGGCTGATACATTTGGGGAAAACCGAACCATCACTGAACTATTGCTTTAAGAGAGTCCCACGAGGATAGCTGTGGTTCAGGAATAACCTTATTGCAATGCACAGGCTAGTTGTCAGGAGAGGATGGAGGGCAGACAAAGAGAGCCAGAGGAGGTGTGAGACAGTAAGGTGGATGTGTGAAACCCACCGGGGTGAGGACAACGAGCAGGAAATGATAGAAAATGATCTCCAATTTCACACAGGGGAAGTGTTCATTTTTGAAAGTACACTGGAGAACAGATTTATATATATTGTGTTCATGCAGTTATCAAAATGCTGTCAGTTGTTCATTGCAAGTAATACATTTATAAAGGGTCAGTACTACAGTTATGCTGCTTCATTATGGTGCATACCAGGACTGTTTATCAAATTTGATAAACTAACACATATTACTAGTAATCAAAATACAATATACTGACAGTTTATCTTAGGGTTGCACAATATGGGAATTGTGGGCCGATGCCAATATCTGATATTTTTCATGTACATATCTGCCGATGCCGTTACATGAACATTTATAAAATGTAGATATTGGGGCTAAATGTACCTGGATTGGCCTTATTTCTATAAGGTTTATTTCTATTTTCTCTAGGTTTTGTAGAGGGTCACAATTGCAGTAAAAATGTTGAGTACCTTTTTCTAAATAAGAAATTATTGTTACTTTCTACTGTATTTATTTTTATTTGCATTTACTCTAATGACATGGTGTTTTACAAATAAAAAACATACTTACTGCTGTAATAAATGGTTTTAAAAAATGTACATAGGTGTGTAAGGCCTTTGCCTAGTACTGCATGTACGAGAAATATGGATGAAATACGCGCTCGTATTATACTGCTTTCATGGCGGTGGGTGAAAGGCACCTGTTTCATTAAGCAGTGAACACCTGTTGTCTGCAGGGTGATGGTGAAGTCAAAGAGAAATCAATGCACAGTGAGTGCTGAAGGAAAAATGTGATGTACTTTGCTGTAGGAGAGAAATAGATTGAGAGCGCTTCATTAAGACCATTCATTCCAGAAGAGAGGCAGAGTCTCTCACTCTCTCTGTGATAAAGACTGACAGCTGATGAGAGGAGACATGCCCAGGGCCAGATGCTTTGTATGCAGCACCACGAGCGACTGCCTGACACACACACACTCTCTTTTTCTCTCTCACACACACACCCTAGGCAGGCCGGCCTCCTGCTGCTTCCCTCACACACACAGAT